AGAGAAAGAAAGGAATAACACAAAATGATTGCTTTGAGGAATAAAAGCATCCTGGTAGGAGGGAAATGAAATTTAGAGAACTGCCCTACCATAGATTTTCTTAATGCCTGGCCTAGAATGAAGGAAGCAAATTTCTGTAGTTATTATAGCTACATTTTTTCATGTTACATTTGCGTTGTGAACCGAAAATGCTAGATGAGAAATTGTCTGATTAATTAGAACTGATAAAGAAGCCCTATTACAGAGAACTATTAGCTTCCTTCACTTACCGTTTCCCACCAATCATCAAATTCATAATTTAGCACCATATGATTTTTCTACATGCAAAGAGGAAATAAGATAGCTTAGATTATTCATATAGGGGCCTGAACCTGAATTCAGTTACATGGCACCTGGTAATACTTAGAAAGGTTAAGAGCTTCGGAACCAGAAAAATTCAGATTCTAATCCAAGCTCTCTTTCCAGGGTGTATGTTAAGCAAACGGCGTATCCTGGCTGGGCCTGATTTCTCATCTATAAAACGGGAATGGCACCACCGGGTTTGAGAATTGTGTTGATGTTTAAGTCGGAGGGCAGATGAAAAGCATCTTGCTCAGTACTAAGCATATATATGTGTGTGTGTATACACACATGCTTAGTACTGAGTATGTATATATGTATACACACACACATACACACAATAGGTGGACAATAAGTTTAGGTTGCTGCCTTCCTGATGGTTTCAATGGTTTCTGAGTTTTCTATGCCCAAAGGCTTAAAAACCACTAATATCATAGTAGACTTTAGCTGGAGACAAATTTGAGCACAGATGGTAAATATACTCTTATATTACTATTTCCCATGCCTCCCTGAGAAGAATCACCTACCCCTCATGTCCACTGATTATAAACCCAGTTTCTCACGCCTTGCCCTAGAGATTTTTGAGTGAATGGATCAGCGATGAGGTCTAGAAACTTGTATTTTTAACAAACATTCCAAGTAATCCTCATCTTCTAGGAAGTTTGGGGAGTAGTGATAACAATGCTTCTCAAATTTTGAAGGGCAAGCAAATTACTTGGCTATCATGGAAATGCAGAAAATCAGCAGGTCCAGGGGTGGGGAAGGCCAGGGGGTCAGGGGACTGAGATTCTGCATTCGTAAAACACTCCCACGTCACACCGATGTTGCTGGTCTGAGGACCACACTTTCAGTGGAAAGGGTCCTTAGGGCTCAACTGGACCGGCAGTTATATGGGAAATGTCTTCAAGCTCTGATCATGATGATTTCATGTTATGGTAGAATGAGTCAAGTGTCATCCTCTAGCTGGGAAATTTGTTTTTGCTTTTCAACCTGGAATGCACATTAGAACCACCTGTGGAAGTTATTTTATTATTTTTTAATTACAGATGCCTAGGCCCAGTCTTCAGAGATTCTAACTCCCTGGTGTAGCCAGGCAGGGCATTCATGTGGTCGACAGGCAGGCAGCATCTGAGTCATTTGAGAAGAGCTTGTTAGAATTTTCTACCCTACCATGGGCCTTCTGAGGCGGAATTCACAAGATCCCCACATGAATCACGTGCATGTTAGAGCTGAGATGTGCTACCTCACCTGAAGTCTTCAAGCCAGCCCCTTTTCCTCTTGTAAATGCTTGGCAGTTCAGTGCTCAACAGCCAAGGGAAGCTGCCATTGCCCCCTGTGGGAGGGTTGGTACGATTTTTAGAAGTGATTTCTCCTTAATTCCTATCTCTAGTTCATGAATTATCTGGTCCTCTTCATAGTCTTGCCCCATGTCCCCACATCATGCCTCCTCCAAAAGGGAGAACTTGTAATTTTTGTAGCCTGCATCACATTCTGCTTACATTGTTATAAAGAAGGAAAAATAATGCCTTGAAGAGCTGGGCACCCCTGTAGTCCCAGGTACTTGAGAGGCTGAGCGGGGAGGATCCCTTGAGCCCAGGGGTTTGAGGCCAGCATGAGCAACCAATGTCTCTTTAAAAAAAAAAAAACATGCCTTGGGCTTAAAAGAGGTAGCCCTCAGTTTATTAGGGAAATATACACCCAAACACATATTTAGCTACATTTCAAATTTTTAAAATCCCAAATAAGATAAAATAACACTATGTGGAAGCTGAAAATACAGTACAAGAAATTGTGCCCCAGACTGGCCAGACCTACAAGAGCATGTCTAATTGTTTGCCCTTTAGTGACCCTCATTAGTTTTACCTGGTCTAGCTCAAGGTAAATACCTTTAAAATTTCAATCTCTTGCTTTTCATTTAGTTTATGTATTCGCTGTAAACTGGTTGCTCACTTAACAGCTCTTGCTATGGCCATTATTGGCTCTGTGATGTGTGTACTTAATATCCTTTGTGAGTTTTTTCTTTTATGATGAAGACCGACTTTTCTGCATAGCATGATACACAGTCCCATTAAAATGACCATTTCCATACTTACTTTTAAAAACTGTGAATCTTAGCAGAGTGAATTCCTCTAAGCAAGGAAAACTACATCATGCAGGCAGTGAAAAACATTGTGTCATGATTCTGTCCCATTTCATCTTGCAATTTATATTGTAGTAGAAGAGTGTGTGGGAGGAGGCAGGTCTTGTCTAATGGTAGAGGTTAAATGTATGGGCTGTCTAGTCAGATTGCTTGAGTTCAAGCCTCAGTCCTGCCATTCCATGAGGGTTAGTCACTTAACCTCTTTCCGAGTTTTGGCTTCCTAACTTATAAAATGAAGCAATGTATAGTTCAAATGGCACGGAAATTAAATGAGAAGATGCAAATATTTAGTGTGTTACTTGGCTCCTAGTAAATGTGCTACAAACAGTAGCGACTACTAATACTTCCTTTCCTATTCAATTCAGTTCAGCAAATGTATTAGTCCATTCCCACACTACTATAAGGAACTGCTCAAGACTGGGCAATTTATAAAGGAGAGAGGTTTAATTGACTCATAGTTCAGCATGGCTGGGGAGGCCTCAGGAAACTGACAATCATGGTGGAAGGCAAAGGGGAAGCAAGCCACCTTCTTCAGACGGCGGCAGGAAGGAGAAGTGCTGAGCGAAGGGTGGGGAAGAGCCCCTTATAAAACCATCAGTTCTCATGAGAACTTACTATCATGAGAACAGCATGAGGGAGACCACCCCCATGATTCAGTTACTCTACCTCGTCTCTCCCTTGACACGTGGGAATTATGGGGCTTACAATTCAAGATGAAATATGGGTGGAGACACAAAGCCTAACCATATCAGCAAATATTTATTGATGTCTCCTATGTGCTTTGTCCTAGAAGTAAAAAACAAGACAGAGAACCAGGGAGCTTTAAGTCTAGCAAAGAAGATACACGTGTAGAAAGATAACTCCAAAATAATGCAGTGAGTGCCATGAGGCAGATACACAGTGAAGCAAAGAGGGTCCACAGGTCAGTCCAGGCCTTTCCAAAAGGCTTCCTCCAGATGTCTGAGTCCAGCACACATGCTAAGCTGGAGTTCTCTAGAGTAAGGATACACTTAAGGAACTGGCCTTTACCCAAAGAATATGGGTGCTATTTAAAAGTTTAAAGCAGGATAGTAACATGGTGTGCTTACACTTGAGTAACATCACTCTAGGGACATTGTAAAGAACAGACTAGAAGGGGTAAGAGCGAAGGCAAGAAAACCAGTTAGGAGGCTGTTGAGGTCATCTGGAGAGAGACTATGATAGAGACCAAACTAAGGCTGCCAGTAGCACAATAGAGATGGGACATGGATTGCGTGGAAGAGTATATTGTGAAATCAGTGAAACATTTTTTTTTTTTAGATGTAAGGAAAGAAAAAAGAGTTTAGGTAGAAATCTAGGATCTGACTTGGAGAAAAGATGGGGAATACAGTGAGCTTTGAGAGAAGGGGCACAGAATAAGCACATTTTTAGACATTTTGAGTGTGAGGTGCCTGAGCCAAGGTGAAATGCTCAGAGACCAAGGATGAACCCAGGGAACACCAGTATTTAAAGGGACAAAAGGACAAGGAAGAAATTATGTAAAGAGAGAAAAAGAACAGCTTGAAGACAACTAGGAGAGAGGGCTGTCAGGGACAGACCAGTTCTCAAGATGGTCTACTGAAGTGATGTCTTGACAAGAGGGCTTTAGAGTCAGCTGTCACTGGTGACCTCTGCCACAGCAATGTTGATAGCATGGGGGACAGAGCCAGGTTTAAAAGGGGTGAAGACCCAAAAATACTAAGTGCAGACTCCTCTTGTAGAACGTCACCTGAGAAGGGACAGAGGGAAAAGGCCAGGCAAAGAAAGGGGTTTTCTGAAAGGAAAGAGACAGGTGGAGAGGAAAACGAGAAAGCTGAGGCAGAGTATGGTAATAGATGGAGCAAGTTCATGAGAGAATGAGAGGAGTTGGTGGTGGTGTCACAGAGAAGGGAGAATTAAGACCCTCTGAGTGTGGGAAGATGGCGAGTGTGGGTGTAGAAGTTGGTATGTTCTGCAGGAAAGGAAGAAGGTTGGTAGAAAAAAATAGGAAGAAGTTAAAGGAGGACTTAATCTTTTTTTTTTTTTTTTAAGAGATAGGGTCTCGCTCTGTTACCCAGGCTGGAGTGCAATGGCACAATTACAGCTTGTTCATTGCAACCTTGAACTTCTGGGTTCAAGTAATCCTCCTACATCAGCATCCTAAGTAGCTGGGACAATAGGCGCATACCACCACACCCAGCTAATTTTTCAGGTTTTTGTAGAGATAGGGTCTATGTTGCCCAAGTTGGTCTCCAGCTCCTCAGCTGAAGCCATCTTCCTGCCTTAAGACTCCCAAGTAGCTAAGACTACAGGTGAGCATAATGTTCTTCAACATTATGCCCAGTTAAAGGACTTAATGTTGAAGAATATTTGTGTACATTTAAAAAAAAAAGGCGGCAAACTGTTCCACTCAGCAAAAAGTAATCTGCAAAAGCCCATCCTTTCCATAATACCAGAGTAATAATCAGTAATATTTTTTGGAGGTGGAATGTATATATTAGAAAAAAACTTACAAGTCATTATCTTTCATGCTAAATTTTTATTTCAATGTTATGCAACTGCATAAGTATAAATACTTTGTTCAATATACAACAATTATGACATCCATAAGGAATTTCTTAGAGAAAATAAGACTGCAAACACTTTATTGCACAGATCCTAACAAACTTTTAAGCTGGTAAATCTACAGCTGGGAGTACTACCAAGGAGCACATCCTACAATCATACAGAGACCGACCAAATAGAACACAATGAGGAGAATTTCTACCAGCTGATTGGAGAGGTTTACAACAACAAACATGTAATACATGAATGCAACCTTAAGTACTCTTTACTCATTCATAATGAAAAACGTATTTGGCAAAATGATGATACGCTATACAAAATATACATAAAAATATCATTTGTAAACAAATAGCTAGTTGTGCTTTAAAGGAAATTGAACAGTTAAAAAGCAAAGGCTTGTAAACCATGAACTATCTCCCCGATAGACCTGTCCCGATGGCTGAGTGTAGGATTGGGTTATGACAACTGCCAAACACAGATACGTATTATAAACGTTGAGACCAGTTTTGAAATTCATTTAAACTCTTGTAAAGTATATATATGTATTTTTTATAGCTTCACAATGTAGTGATGGGGAATGGCTAAAACCATATGGAAAAAAAATTAGGGGCAAGGAGGAGGCTTTTTTCTTTTTTCTTTCGTTGTTTGTTTTTTTCCTTTTTCCCAATGCCAATTCATTTTACAATGAAGGACAACTGAGCAGTCGGTTAAGTTATGCCTTTGTTTTCAGAGTGGAGTTTACAGCCTCACTAGAAGATTTACAATCCATAGGGCCGTAAGATGATGCTGTGCTTAGATGAACAATTTTATAGTCTGAAGATACTAAGACATCCCCAAGAGAGTTTGGGTGGTAGATTAATTATTTATTGGCAATTTTTTTCTCTTGCAAAACCAAACAAAAAATTCTGCTATGGTTCCCAAGCATCTTATAAATACTTATCTGTATTTTCTCTTAGTGCCTTAGTACTTATATCAGCAAGTGCCATCTTACAATACAAAACAAGCCACCAAAGAAACTGCAACAACAAAAACAAAAACAAAAATCAAAAACCTTCAGCACTAAAATGATTTGACAAATTCTACGTATTCCACGGTATACAAAATTTAAATAAGGCTTAGCAAAAGTAAAAAGGATGGTCACATTCAAGCACCAAATAGCTCCAGCCAGTCTCTTTGTTACAAAAATGCTGCTCTGTATTAAGACAGTATTTTTTGCATACAAATAAAGAGATCAGGTTATGAAATGTATGGAGCTACTAGATGCATCAGAAATGAATGTGAAACCCAGGAACTTGCTAAAAACAGCAAGCTTCATCTACAACGTAAGGCCCCAGCTATGTATTAAAATGTATCTGATGTCCTGATTATTCCTTAATCGATATGCTACGATGCCAAAATCTACCCCCAGTTCTTTTCCTCAAAAAAGCAAATTTAAAACCTCTTCCAATGCCTGATGCTTATTACTCGACTTAAGTACTAGAAGATTTGGGTGCAGCCAGTAATATTCCTTTTTATTCAAGAGCAGGGCTGGTGCAGGACTACTACTAAATGTGTGCTTCTTGGACTAGTCACTCACAGCATAAAGGCCTAAGTTTAAGAGTTTGAAAAGAAGGAAAAGAAAGCAAATAGAAAGAAAGTTGATGTGTGTTTATAGTCCCCGCTCTACCTCAGGTGAAGGCCAGACATCCACATCCACAGACAGGCACAACTGGCCTTTTAGACAGTTGGACCAGGGATCCAGTGTCCATTGGGATGGCCATGTAATGAAAATGGCTAGCTCCACTTGTCCTGGCCATTCCTAATGGAGGAGGATTCCAAATGCAGTACTTAGAGTAGTTCTTGCTTTAGATCTGGAAATATAGGTAGCCAGACACAGTACTTATCAGAAACTCTGGTTAAAATACACATAAAAACTCACTACTGTGTTTAGGGCTTTCTTCCATCTTTACTTAGAATGTTTTAGCTTATAAAAATGGAACCTTGAAATAGTCTCTTAAACCACAGACCAAAACATGTAGGTGGATGTGTATATACACGAATATGGGTGTATCTCTGGTCACACACACCCAGTTTTGACCACTTTGCTTCATTACTACATTATGATAAATGGTAAATCAAAAATCTTATTTAAAAAAAGCTGTAGTAAACGACGCAATCAGCAGCCAGGTATAGACTTTACATCCCAAACCACACACGGTGTATATATTTACAGAGAAAATCTTTTTCCTCAACAACCCTCAACTGTAAAGGTAATTTTTTTGTTGTTGTTGCTTTTGTACAAACACTATCTGGTAACAGTTTTACCGGTTACAACTGGGAAGGCATCTGGAAGAAGGTCCTCTCTTTGTCTTTCTCTCTCCCCTTTCTCAATGAGGCTCCGAGCTCTGCCTGGCGGACATTCCCACACAGTGCTGGTTTTGAAAGGTAGTCAAGACAGTCGCCCGTTCAGGACGGGTCTCCACAGTCCTGCCCCGGGGCCTGCCCCGTTACAAGGCCTTTTTGTGAGGGCTGCTACGCAAACTCTCTTTCCCCCGCCTCTGCCGTACCACAAAGTCCTTCTCATTAGAAAGGGAGATGGGGCGGTCAGTGTTTGGGGCTGGGGATGGCTTGGTCACGTCTCTGCCCACGTTCTGTTTCCTAGTTGGGGGAGGCTGGGCTGGGGCAGGGTCCTTCCCTTTGGTTTCCCCTACGGTGGCAGTCACCGAGAGCGCCCTGTCCCGGTGGCTGGCTCCGCCCACGGTGTTTGGGTCGGGGTGGTGTGACTCCAGAGCCAGGGTGGAGACCCGGAAGGAGGGCAGGGAGTCACTCTTTGTCATGTGGGTTCGGCCCTCCCCCGCAGGCTGAGCCTTCCTATGGTCCCTGTTGCTGGGGGCTGGAGGCTCCAGCGCGCCCCCGGCAGCCTTGGCAGAAGAGATGTCGCTGCTGGCTGTAGAGGCCTCTCTAACTCCGGTCCTGGTTTCAGGGAAGCTGGAGGAGCAGCTCAGAGACTTTTCAGGGAGGGCCGTGGATCGGAAAGAACTCTGCCCGGTGGCTGAGGGGGAGCGTTTCATGCCGCTGGGCTTGTCTGCCTCCGTGGGTGGCTTCTGGGGACCGGACCCTTTCCCTCTGGCCTCAGGGAAGCCCTTTCCCACCGCCGCGGCTGGCCGCTCCGCGCCTTTCAACCGGGCCTCGCTTTGCGCAAAGGAAAGGTCGGCCTTGAGCTTGTCGCCCTCTGCGGGAGCATAAAGTGCTTCGGTGCATTTCTTCCCTTCCGCCCTTCTGTCGGTGGTGGCGGCCGGCTGACTCAGGCTTTTGTCTGTCTGTCTGTTGTCTGTCTGTTTGCTCAGGGTGGGGCAGTCTTTCACAGTGGATGGTTTGGAGTGCTTTGGAGACAGGGTTTGCTTTTCACCGACAGTGGACAGTTTCTGGTCCGCTGGCTCACTAGGCCCTGGGTGTCCCGACCTTGGCAAATGCACGGGCTTCTCCAGCACCTCGAGGGGCCGCCCACCACTGGTGGATTGTGGCTTGGTGTCTAGAGGACCCCTGTCAGTGTGCAGTGGGACAGAGGGCCCACTTTGTCCCTGGCCAATTCCATCGCTGGCTTTGTTCTGGGAGCCTGGGGTGGCAGGAAACACATCCAGCCCACTCTTACTGTGGCCCTTCCCTTCTCTGCTACCGCCGCCGAGGGACTGAGTGGCAGGCTCTTTGCCCTTTGTGGCCCCAACACTTGGCTTCTGAGAGGAGAGGGACCGGTCGGGGTGCTTAGACTTTGGAGGGCCCGGGTCAGGGCCAGGCCGGGGCTTGTGGCTGCTATTTTCACTGTGCGCAGGAACAGGCTTGGGAGGGTCCTGGGGGCTCGGGCTGGGCTCTGCAGTGCTGGGCTTGGCCCCCGGCTCTCTGCCAGAAGTGTGGCTTGGGGAACTGCAATGCTGCCTGGCAGCCGGGCTGGGCAGGTCTTTGGAGGTCAGAGGGGGCGGAGGGATACTGCCGGGATGCCTTTGTAGAGGCTGCTCCTTCCTTTCAGGTTCCTTGGCACCATCTTTCTGCAAAGATGGGAAACTGGAGAGCTTTTCACTCTTCTCACTCTCAATTCCAGGTGGCTGCAGAGACCGCCTGGCAGGAAGGGCTTCGGGCTTGGGTTCCACGCCACGCCTCACCTTGCCTAGCTCCTTCTCACAGGGAATTCCAGCTGAGTGCAGAGAGTTGTCATCTCTGGGCGGGGGCCTCGCTTCATCTGGGCCATCTTTGTGGTTCGTTTTCCCACCCGGCGCCCATGCTTTCTCCATGGCCTGGGTCTGTGTATAGAAATCTGGGTGGGTCCTGCCCAGAGAGAGGAGGTTTTTGGAGTTGTCACTGGTTTTCACAGTTTCTGAAGAGCACAGTTCCATGGAGGGCTCTCTGCGTATGTCAGTCCTCGCAGCAGAGCGCTCGCTTCTGACTGTGGAAGGGCCTCTTTCAGACGATTCCCTCAGGCCTGGCTTCTCCCTTGAGGGGGAAGCTTCAGGTGGGAGCGGGCAGCGTGGCCTGGCCAGGTCAATGCTGTGGAGGTTCTGCCCTAGGCAGGTCAGAAGCTTGGGGTCGGTGGTGTGGTCTTGGCATCTGGGGGAGCTGCTCTCTCTCTGTTGGGGATTGCTTTCCATGACTGTTGCGGGGCTCCTGGCAGTAGGATGGGGACCTTTCCTGTCCCTCTTTAACTCTGGGTCAGGCAGGGAAACTGCTGGTGAATTCTGGAGACCCCGGCTGGGGGGCAGGAACCGAGGCTCGAGCAGGTAGGATTTATTCATCTTTAAGCTGGAAGGAGAAAGCTCTCTCGCACTGGTGGTATCACTCCTTTTCCCACTGCTGTTGGGGAGAGCTGGTGGCACAGAGGGCTTCACGTCACCACTTGGGCTAGGGCTCTGTGCAGACTCCGGGGAAAGCAGTTCTGTCTTGGAGGCCTGAGGTCCGGACAGGAGAGCAATGTCCAGAGTGCCCTCAATCGGCTTCAGGCATGAGACAGACCTACCTTCCAGCTTATACTCGGAGGGGCTCTTCCTAACAGGGGACTCAGGAGCAACCAAGCCAGGCTTCTCCGTTCCACTGTCCACCCGGCCTGTTAAGGCCTTGAGGGGAACGAAAGAGACGGCACTCATCTGAGCTGCATGGGTGCTGCCAACAAAAGCTCGGCTCTCAGAAGCTGGTGGGGGCTCCTGCTGCCCACCCATGGGTCGGACGGGGTTCCCTGGCAGGCATTCGTGGGTGCTAGCTGTCATCTTGGGCTTCAGCACAGGGCAGAGGTTGTCCTCTTTGTCCTCAAGTGACATTTTCTTTCGGAGGTAATCGATGTTGGCCAGCTTGCTGTCTAACTTCTCACATCGGAGAAGCTCCTTGGCCTGGGGGGCCTTCTCCGTGCCTTCCCCCTTCCCGGAGATGCCCCTGTCGAGGGAGTGGCAAAGACCATCCTGGAGGATGCCAGGAGCAGGGGCCCGTCTGAAGTCCCCGCCACCCTGGCCGTGCTCCACAGGCACCGGGCCATCCGAGGTCGCACCCTCGCTGGCACGCACGCTGGCCTGCTTGTGAAGAGCGTCCTTCAGCAGGCTGCCCAGCGGTGGCGCCTCCTGCATAGCCGCTTTGTTTTCAAAGAGACTTGACCTTTCCACAGCCTTCGGATAGATTTTCTTCTCTCTCTCTTCCAGCTTAAACAGAGCAAGGTTTTCCAAATCACTCCCGGGTCCATGGGATTTCTGGTGGGATTCCTGTTTCTCTGGGAAGCCATCTGGCTTCTTCACCACCACCTTGGCCTTCAGCTTGTCGCGGTCCAGGTCATCCACAGACTCCTGGCGGCCCAGCTTCCGGGAGACCGGGCGTTTCAGGCAGCCTTGCTCCACGGGCCGGGCGCGGCTCAGTGGCGGCGCGTCGCACACGTTCTCATCCAGGCTCTGCAGCTGCGCCTCCCGCTGGGACTGCTCCCGCTGTACCTCCTCTTGGGTCACCTCCAAGCTATGCTTGCGGGAGCACAGGTGTTTCTTGTCACTGCCGTAAGAGGGCGACAGCTTCTCCTCGGACTGCACGCGCTTGAGCAGCGGGGACCTGGGCGGCTCCGCACTCTTGGGCCTCACGATGTGTCTGACGATGGTGGGCGGGGAGTGCATCTTGCTGGGAAAGGCTTGCGCGATCTTGGAATTGCCCAGTGAGTGTCCCAGAAGAGGGGATGGTGACCGCTGCGGGGAGGTGGGTTGCGGGGTTGGAGAGGGCGTCCGGGCCAGCGGGGACAGTGGGATGTTGCCAGCCGACTTTCGCCTTCCGGACCGGTACCGCTGCCCGCCAAGTTTGGGTGCCAGACCGTGGAGAGTGCTGGGCCGGATGTGCCCGGACCCTGCCGGAGAATTAGGGGCACTAGAACTAGGGGAGCTGCTCTGGGAGGAATTAGTACCTGTGGGTGGAAAACAGAAGGCTGTGAGCATCCAGGGTCATTTTCCCCTTTTTTTCCACGGTTGTAGCCCAGACTGTATTAGGTAAGGCCAGGTAAGGTCAGCAAATTGTCTCAGCATTTAACTAGTGGAATAAACACTTTTCAGATAAACCTCTCCACACCAAGGTTTAGTCCCCAACTTCTTATTTGATTGGTCAGAATAGCCACATCTTATGACCTCTCTATAAATCTGTCTTTATAATTTATACCTTCAGCCTGCTTTCTTTCAGCTGGAACAAGCTTCATGTTTTTTGGGACCTCACATGACTTTACCTCCTCCCCTCTGCTGTTTAGACCAGGAGACTCACTCACCAGATGGGAAGTCAGGGGTGGAGCGGTAGCTTGGTGTTGGAGACCGGGGAGACAAGCTATGAGTGGGGGAACCTGGGAGGCTCTCGCCCGACGACAGGGATCTGTTCAAGCAGGAGAAACTTCGGCTGGTGTGGAGTAAAGGAGAAGGCTGCTTGGCTAGCTTTTTGAAAAGAGATCTCCTCCTAGAGCAAAAACAGGAAAAAATTGTTCAGAGTCTTCTTTCAGAACTACTCCTGCCTCCCCAAAATACCAGTGCGCTTAGTTCAATAATTCCGTGTGAGGGACAGGCATACAACAGTAGATCCTGTTAAAGAGCGGAACACCACTTTCCTATTAGAAACTTTCTTACAGCATGTAAAGGAAGAGCATTTGATAGTAGACAGTGGAGGCTCTCTCAATTCCAAACACTGAAGAAGAGTTGGGAAAATAGGAAAAATATAAAATGTGTTTAAAATACATTCATTTACTTGTTAGGTTTATGAGGAGGATGTTCTTTGCTTGAAAGCTTCTGAGTACCTGCCCCTAAATATGTGGACACAATTTAACTAAGAGGTAATACAAAGTAAACCTCTGGAAGCAAAACCATTGTACTGGAAATCAAATTATTTAATGGTGATAGGCTAGGCAGAGGCCAATGAAGGGCTATTTGCTGTGCTTATTCCACTGTGGGCTCTTGAATATTCCTAACAACAATGCAGGCTGTACAATGACATAGAAAAACCGAGAAAGGCGAAGCTGAAGCGTATCATATCAGCAGGGCAGCAGACACTGTACTGCAGCACAAGCAAATGTAGACTTGCTACTCAACGAGCACATCTTAAGGCAAAAAGCACAGCTTCTGACAGCTTAGTAGGGTATCAGGCTGTGCAGAGTTCTTTTACCATATAAGCCTATATATGGTAAGATCTAACCCACTCCACGTGAGCTTAAAACAGAAAGTTTCTGGTTGCCAGCCCTTGAAACAATTTGTTCTAAATGATTTAAAGCACAGCCAAAATGTAAAGCATAATAATAAAGAGAAGAACTGGTGTGTGTGTAATTTTAATCAAAGTAGTAAGTGTACTTGGGTGATAAAGTCAAATAGTTCTATAAATGTACAACAAAAAACAGCAACTCCTCTACTGGAGTTTTTCTCTACTCCCCAAAGAAGTCGCTTTGTATTCTTTTACCTGTTTTTTCTCCCATTTGTCTACATATTGCTAAATGTTTGTACACTGCTATTTTTTAGTTTTTCAGTTTTAGAAATTATCTGTTGATTTCCTACTATGAAAGATGGTAATTAAGTTCTTACACAACACCCTTCTACCTTGCAACCAAATGTATGTCCCCTTTTCTACTCTTCCCAATATAGTGAAAGCAAAATTTTTGGTTAGAAAATTGGCCAATATTGCATTTTATAGTATAAATATTGTTCACAGCTGGGCCATATGAAACATAATTCTGTTCCTTTCTTGTATAACATTATTGTTTCCCCCCAGAGTTAATACATGGTTTTTCATTTGCTTGTTTTTCTACATTTCTATCATCAAAAATCTTTTTAATATGATGTGACTCATCAGGTCCAATTGGGTAAAGAAGAAATGCTGTGGCATTGCAAAGGAGGCACATCCAGAGAGCTGCCTAGAAAGAAACAGCCCTGCCAGAAACACATACATCTTGCTAGTGTCTGCAAGCAGCACAAAAAGATACTGATCGGTGCTTGCCAGGCTACAGAAGTATATAAGCTAGTTCGTTTTTCAGTGAGTAAAACAAAGCCCTTTTATTTCTAGGCTTATTTGGAATCTTTAAAGATACGGTTATTTTAGAATATCTGGCATTTTAAAAATAGCAACTGTTTGTTTTTTGATAATGTAAAGGACATTTTAAATGTAGATTTCATGTTAAAAACTACTTGAAGATCCAGTTCCTCAATCCAACTCAACTGAAATCAAGTGAAGAGGCTCAAAAAACAGCAAAGGGCTTTTCCTGACATTCACACATGATAAAAAACAATCTGAATCCTCTACAATGTAAATATGTGAATCCTTTTACCATGGAAATTAATGCTATTATGAATATGGACTTTAATGTATACATATATGTGAATCATAACAAAATTTCTCACAGAAAAATAGATCTTCTTCATATGTAAGCATTTAATTAAGGGGTAACTTTTCCCCAACATAGGTATACACCAAACTTAAAAAGAATACTGATTGTACTAACCTTTCGAGACTTTCCTTCTTCTTGGATTTCTTGCTCCGCCTCACCATCCGGCTCTTATAGCTGTTTCTCCTGGCTGGTCCAGTTTTGATGGATGTGTTTTCAAATGGGGTAGTAGTGATTGACACCTTACTCCCACTCTATAGAAAAGATGAGGTGGTATTAAAGGGAAATGCTGTGATGAAGCAAGATCAGAACAGAGATGAGAGATTCGTAGACAAATACAAATAGAAAGGAGCATACATATAAAAGGCCTTCTGTTTCTATATAACCCTTCAATCAAAGAAGTCCTGTCAGAATACAAACTGAGTGGAAGGCAAAATATGAAGGTTCTTTAAGAGGGTGAGCTCTGGGGTCCACAGATCTGAGTTCAAATCCAAGCTCTGTGCCCTTAGCAGCCTGCTACCCTCCCTACACCTCCACTTCCTATACCAATTAACAATATAACCCTACCTATCTCCTGGGGCTCATTTGAGGACCACATGAGAGCAAGTCTGTAAAGCCTTTTGCACCCAGTGCAACACAAGGAAAGAACACTATAAACAAGATAACTACTTCTTCCACAAGTGTTAAGTAGTAATGTGCCCAGTGGCTGTCTGCTCTTGGTTGATTTTTCTTTTTTCTCCTTTTTGTGTTTTTCCTTTGGCCTAAAAATTGTAGAGTAACAAAACCAAATGAGACTTTGAATTATTTTAAAAGGCTTCTTTTCTATCACCATAAAACCTGTCAGTTTGCAGAACTGAAACATTTATGCCAGCCAGTGGGAAACATCTTTTTAACCAGGTCATACAGGGTAAGGTAATTTCTGGTGAGTTTCGGTGTCCTTTCTCTCAATCCTGGGAAGAGGTTTGCTGGGCAGCCTCTAGGGCAACTGAGCACAGAGTCAGCAGTCAGGCCGAGGGGGGGCCCAGGGTAGGTGAGTAGTCCCTGGCGTTAATTACCCTTCTTGAATTTCATAATAACCAGGGGGTAAACTTGTCTTTTCAAGGTCACAGATGGCCCCAATTACCATGAAAGTACAAGAGGTACAAGGAAAAGGATCTTTCTAAAGGCCCATGCATGGAAGATACCTAGAGCTCAGTTCAACGTGGTACCAAGTGAAGGGGAGTTAGGGGGAGTTAGGTATGGTGGCAGCAGAGGACGGAAAAGACAGGGAATGACTGTCTTAAAGATAGCATCTACTTTCCCCCTTGATTTGGTAAGTAATCCATGCTACAGTAAAAAGACAACAGGGAAGTATAAAAAAAACATTGAGAAGCTTACCACCCAACCACTAGTCATATTTCAGTATATTTCCTGTTCGTCTTTTCTCATGCATGTGTAAATAGGTACACATGTACACATGCTTTATAACTAATTTAAATCTCAGTTTATTTACAGCTTTATGTTGCTTTTTCATTGTGTATTATATAATTTGGAAAAAGTTTACCTTTATCATTAAATAACCTTTAAAAACATGATTTTTACTGGCTGCGCAATATATCCTATCAGATGAGTGAATCAAAATTATGTAATATTTCCTTACTGCTATTGTTCTCTTTTTTGCTTGCTTGTTTTTTGAGACACAGTTTCGCTCTTGTTGCCCAGGCTGGAGTGTAATGGCACGATCTCGGCTCACTGCAACCCTCCTGCCTCAGCCTCCCAGGTAGCTAGGATTACAGGCATGTGCCACCAGGCCTGGCTAATTTTGTATTTTTGGTAAAGACAGGCTTTCTCCATGTTGGTCAGGCTGGTCTTGAACTCCTGACCTCAGGCAATCTGCCTGCCTTGGCCTCCCAAAGTGCTGGGATTACAGGTGTGAGCTACCATGCCCAGCCGATGATTTCTTATGTTTAAATTCTTATACGGTTTGATGTTGTCCCTTATTTAGTTTGGTTATTTGTATTTCTTTAAGAAATGATTTATTCAGTCTTACATCCAGTTTAATATTGGAAGGTCTTAGTATTTTATTATTTGTTTTAGAGTTCTTTAATTTTTTTTAATTAAAAAAATTTTTTTGAGATGGGATCTTGCTCTGTTGCCCAGGTTGGAGTGCAGTGGTGTGATCACAGCTCACCGCAGCCTCGAACTCCTGGGCTCAAGCAATCCTCCTGCCTCACCCTCTGAGTAGCTGGGATTATAGGAGCGCACAACCACGGCTGACTTAGAATTCTGTGTATGTTTAAGATAATATATGTTCATACTTAATGTCATATTTGCAGAAAATATTTTAGGGAAAGAGGGCTTTAACTTCAACAAGAGAAAACAGTTTATTTTGTTTTATATTGCAAAATAATAAACATTCTTTATGCAAGCCCCAAAACATTAAAAATAAACCTTTATCTGATAGTAGAGATTGCATTTTATTTGTTCTTTAATGAGAAAAATCATTTTGTAAGTATTAAGGTCTACTATTGAAGGTTTTTTGGAGTGGGGTCTTCACTTCACAAATTGAGGCTATGCTGAAATTTTAGTATTTCCTATGGTGAAGGAAAGGGGCAACAAGCATGGCGAGCTCCTGTGTCACTGATGTTCCTTCAGTCTTCTTCCATATGCAGAGTGTGGATGCGCAGAACCACAATGATCACTGGGGCTATTCTATCATGTGTGCCACTTGAGCTGGAATCCAGTTCTGCTCTTTTCTAATACAATTCAGGATTGACTTCTATATCTCTAGCCATAAGAGACTAACAATGCTACCCGGCATTTTAAAAGCATATATTTATTTTTAAACCATTTTCATATATATTCTCTAAATGTATTTTCATAAACAAGTCATAAGGGTTGTTTGTTTTACCCTCATGGCCTGGAAGAGTTTGTCATCCTTCCTTTGCAGATGAAGAAAACGGGTTCTGAGACAACGAGGCTCTTGTTTCCCAAGGTCACTGAGAGTCCAGTGGAAGACTGACTCTCTTGCTGCTCACCCCCAATGCTCCTCCTACCAAACCCCGCTCCCTGTAGGAAGGGAATGCCCCCCAGTCCTCTCCACCTCTCCTGAGCCTGGCACAGTGTGTAGCTGGTACTTAATGAGTGGTGGTGAGGGAAACAGGCACTTGATTGACTTATGGCATGGTCAAAGTATAAGACTGTCAAGATAAAATGAAGGAGCCATCAACATATAAAATTGTATGAGACACATATAAATCCTCAACATACTTATCATCAGAATAGAGTGAAGACCAGGGCTTGCTAAATGACAGCACATCACTAGACTCAGTACAAATGCTCCTACCATTATAAAGACCAAGCCCGGTTCTGTTTCTTGTCTCCACACACGGCTGTTCCAGAGGAAAATTAATTTAACTTACAGGCATATGTCAAAGACAACTTCTCTAAGGGGAAATACAGACACAAAGGATGCAGAGTACAATAATTAGGTTGGAAGTATTAATGGTTACAAAAATGGTAAATGATTGGAAAAGTGATAGGCGAGATTTGTGAAGCCTGCCACCTGGTGGATCCAGTCAGCTACAGCGAGTGCTACCTGAACTGCTCAAGGTGGCTTACTAGGTCGCTTTACCCACAATCAACTTCTCCTGATTAATGACTGACCTCATATAGGAGAATTTCTGTAGCACTTGTTGAAAAAAATAACAAAAATGCAGCTGGCAGACTGCTGAATGTTCAATTAATTCACTTTTACTTTAAACTATTTTCATGACTGGTGCACAGTATGAAGAAAATTATTTCAAGTTGCTGGAATTGAATACAATAGCAGAAGTCAGGCTGTCCAATTTCTTCTCTCGGTCTGGCTCTAAGTTAGCTTATCAGTTTGGCCCTGGGTAACTCACCGAACGACCGCTTTTGCATTTCCTTCTCTGGAAAGTACAGAAGGGAGATGGGCCCCCTGCATCCCTGTGTCCTCAACCCCTTCACTACCCAATCTTGGCCATCTGGCACACTGTATCCTCACATTAACCCAGGCTTCGGCCTGATGGTTCACTTGTATACCTCATAAATCTTGATATCTCCTGTCCTCGTGTTTACACATCTCATTATTTGGCCTAGACTATTGTGCACCCCTGACTAACTGAATCGCCACTCATCCATCAAAGCCTTGCATAGATAACCCTCAATTCTTTGACGCCATTCCTGTCCACGCTGGAGAAAAGCCATCCCTCTTTTGGAACTTCTGCCATGTTTATAGTCTGTTACTTAAGTTGAACATTTTGATTTTAGCCTGGCATTGCCACTGTTTCCCCCTGTGAACATTAGACTCTAAGTTACTGGCAACTGGAGACTTCATATGTAGAGCAGTGTGCTGTGGTGGAAAGTGCAGGCTCTGGAGCTACACCGCCTGGGTGCAAATCACGTTATGCTCCTTTCCAGCAGATAAGCTTAGGCTGCTTTGTTATCTTCTTCTGCTTTTGTTTTTTTTTCATTTGTGAAATGGGAACATTTATATTTATAGCACCTACCTCAGAGGGTAACTGTTTGGATTACATGCATTTATTCCTGTAAAACCACTGACAAGAGTGTGGCAGGCATCAAGCGCTCTTGCCCCATTAACTATTATCCTTATGTGTCTTTTTTTTTTTTTCTTGAGACGGAATCTCACTCTGTCGCCCAGGCTGGAGTGCAGTGGCGCTATCTCGGCTCACTGCAACCTCTTCCTCCCGGGTTCAAGCAATTCTCTGTCTCACTGGGATTACAGGAGCCTACCACCATGCCCAGCTAATTTTTGTATTTTTAGTAGAGACGGGGTTTCACCATCTTGGCCAGGCTGGTCTTGAACTCCTGACCTCGTGATCCACCCACCTCAGCCTCCCAAAGTGCTGGGATTACAGGCATGAGCCACTGTGCCCAGCTCTTACGTGTCATTTTTGTGTGACCCTTGTGGTATTTTGCACAAGGCTCTGTGCATCTGAGGGGCTTGACAGATATGGGTGGATGGTAATCAAGCTATTTGATGGCCCCCATTTTAGTACACAGAAGCTCCCCAGTGCCCATGGAAAGGAAATTTCTGAAGTAGAGGCTGGTAAAGTTTTACGGCTTCTCCTATGCATTGGGGATTTAAACTAATGCTATACTTAAAAAGCAGCTTGGTTGAGAAGAAAGTTTCTTGGATCACAGAAGTTAAGCCTGGCTAATTGGAACAGGTAACAGGACTGGGCCAAGTATCATCTCCACCTGTAACACTAGTGGGTGAAGAATGACCTCGGTCTACTTGTAAAGTTGTTTTTAGAAAGACTGATGCTGTCTACAAGCTTTCCTCATGGCAGGAAAGCTTTGAGGTGAAGCTGAAGGAGGACACTGTCAGGGATTCACATAGCCAGTGGGGAGCTGAACTGGATAACCATGACATTTTATAATTCCATGGATCGAGGATGCTGAGTGATTTTAGACAAGTTTGTCTATGCATGGAAGATAGTGCTCCCATAGCAGGTTCACTTTGAAGTTGTGAAGGTAAACAAGACCAAATGTGATTCTATGAAACATGGAAAATGCTTACTATATTCATAATCCAAAAGACAAACACTGTACAGGTAGTCATGCAGTTCTAAACATACACCTACAGCCCTCTGTCAGGACTTCTCCCCCTTTCTCTAAGAGTGCCATGACATTCCGTAAAGTCCTTTGCAAGTATAAAACACTGTGTAAACAGCATTTGAGAGTACCATAATACAGCCAACTTCCCTGCTGTTAAACCAATGATGGCACACAGGAGCCCAGCACTGACACTAGTCACTTAATACTCTGATTTCAAGAGTCACTGGTTAAATTTGGAAGGAAGCAGCATGATTACACAGTTCACTGGGAAGATAATTAAATCCCTTGTATCCTCTTGGTTTCATGACATTGCTTACTCCTCTTGAGTGCTTCCTTTATGAACACAGGCAGGATGCTCTTTGGATTTGTGACAGAGTACACCATGGCTTCAAAGGGTGCCAATGGCTCTCCACTCCACTGTGTTTAAGCAGTTTCAGTGACACACATTGACTGCATCCAGAAATGAAGGCTTTGGGTTGTGCAAGGTGCTCCATAACCAGAAGAGGGCAAGATAATAGAAATGGGATCATCTGAGTCTGCTAAGAGACCTTGCCAGAGTCCTCTAGGGGAAATACACATTCAAATTTCATAGAAGCAGGAAGATAAGTTTTAAAATACAAAATTCTATTAAAATACTTTACAAAGTAAATCACGAAAGTGATCAATTATGTCTCAGTGAAATAAGCCAATGTATATTTCTCAATATATATATTTCAGTATATTATTTCTTATTCTGATGTTGTGAACAGACATATGATACTATCTAAAGATACGCTGTCGCAGGAGCTGTTCTGCATAAAATGTAACGCTGCTATAAAGAATGTAGAAGACAAAACACATATTACTATTTGAAATCCCTTTAGCCATTTTTAAATCACTGATAAGAAGATTTGGAAAACGTGTAGTGGGATAAGTGACACTGAGCGAAGCTCCTCCACAGAACACAGACTTACTCTCTAATACAAAGGGTCAAGGCGAGCGCCTAGAAAAGTTCAGGCAGCACTTTAAAGAGTAAGCACCTTAGTCAGCCTATCTTTGCAATCCTTACAAACTGAAAACAAAGGATAAAAAAACCAAACAATTCCCTGGGTTCTTGTCCACAACAGGTGGTTCTGAGCTGAAAGGGACCACCATGGACCACAGGATTCAGGATTGTGAGAGAAGCAGCTGGTGAGACTCATGAACTTTGTGTCTCATCTTGACTTCTGTCTTGAGGAGTGTATGGTCACTGCAGGTGAGTTTCACAGTCCAGGGATCTCAGTCAGCAATCCTGCTCTGCCTCCCATTTCTTGGACGCTCACTCTGAAATCACTGTTCCATCCCAGTTGGACAAAAAATATTATCAGAGACAGATGCTCATCGAAAAACCTCAGGTCTTATCCACATAGGTGCCAGAAGTGGCATTTGTTTCTAAGCAGTGGCCATATGTACCAAAAGGGTAGGCTAACTCCAGTCATCTCAAGGCTTTTGCTACCAAACTGAAGGACATGTACAGCAAAACATGAATCAGGAAATAATAAAAGTGGCCACAGGGAACTTGGCTCCTTTTATAGTAACTTTTGGACAGCAAGGAAAGGAAAACTTCATGGTTTACCTTAATCCCACAATATTATTGAGCCCCCAGCCCCTGAGCCCAAGGTCTGAGCCCAAGACCAAAATCTCATTAATACTGTGAACTAATCAATGGCAATAATGTTCCCATCTACTACTACACACTGGACCTTTGGATATACACAATATTTACTCTTCCTGGGACCTAGGCCAGACTCTGAATTGTTGGAAGATACACTTATGTGGTCTGGGGAAATGGCAGAGAAGAGAGGAGAAAAGTCATTTAACTGCATGTTTGAAAGATGTGCACACCCACTTCTCTACAGTGCCTTCCAAATTCCAGTTCAATGTCACTTCCCTGTGAGGCCTCTCCCCACTTATAGAATGTTCTCTCCAAAAGTATGACATTCCTCTCTCTCCTACAGCCTTAATTAAATTGTGTTTTCTTTTGTTGTTGTTGTTGTTGTTTTTGCTCACTTACATCTCCCATACTTCTCAAGGTCAGAGACCACACCTCAGTCCCTATGTAACCAATGTCTACAACAGCACCTGCTTCAGAGCCAGTGTGCTAGAAACAGTCTGAATAAACATTATATTTAAATGATGTGCAAGTATTTATGTTTATATGTATTTATGCTTTGTCTCCCTAAATAGTCTGTAGGTTCTTTGCAGCTATGCTCACATTTCTCTGGCTCATTGCCCCTTCCAGAGTCCAAAGCACAGTGCTTAAGAAACAAGAGGTCGTCCATAAATCTGCTGATCTGTAAAATAATTCTCTAAGTAGGGACTCCATTTCTCATCATAGACTAATTAGCCTTCATTTTCTGTGAAAATTTTAACTCAAACCCATACATTCATCTTTATTTGTTTTAACCAGATCCATATTTTGAACCATAACTATATTCTAGAGTCAGCAAGTAGCAAATCAAATAACTAAACAGAACAGTCTGACAGGATCAGTGTGTGTCCTTTCTCTCCATTTACAGTCATGCTTCCTGTGACCTTCTTACTCCATAGGCTCTATTCAGCTTACATTTTAAATATAAATTGATCCCTATTTAAGTTAATTTGTATGGAGGGGAGGGAGGCCTAATAATTGCTAGAACCTCTTCTTTCACTACCACTTATTTTCTATAATTTATAGTACATGTGTATATATTTACAATTTTGTTTTTCAAAGGAACTCTAATTCTCAGACTAAACCTTCAGATCGAACCTCACAGTTTAATACAATTTTGTCTTCTTGTATACTAGAATGAAACCTGTTAGAAGTTCCTGAAGAAAGTCACCTTTAGGACAGGTGACTCCCAAAGAGATGTCACCGTGTAAGGTATATAAACAAAGAGAATTCTTACTACTTACAATTTAGAATGAGAAGCAAAATTAAATTAGGGAATGAGTATGCAGAAATAAAGACATCATTTCATTACATAAAACCAGAGAGTTCATAATATCTTTGTCTTTAAACTTGAGATTACTGAATACTTCCTCAGTAATCAGACATGGGTGTGCCACAGGGTAATCAATCTCCTGGTACTAGCCCCTTTGGGGCTGTACCATCATGCTGTCTCATCAGCATGGCCCTGACATAAAAAAATACAATACCTTCAGTAGGAGCTCTATAACTTCTGTGTGGACGAGTCCATGCACCGGTTCTCCATTGATGTGTGTGATAAGGTCTCCAGCCTTCAGTCCTGCCTGGCACGCTGGACTTCCTTCTTCTACGTTCTAAAGTCCAAGAGGAGAGGATATTTGTAGGCAAACAAATGACAACTCTAACACCTACTGTGTCTTCTGGAAGAATAATGAGCTAATTAGCAAATGTCCTAAGCTTCTAATAGAAAATCTAAGAGATATGGTTACTATTCCTGTTCTATCGTTATTCTAAAATAGTAAACTTTCTATGGTACTCAGAAATTTTCAGGTGATTCAGACTGAAAGTACCAGAGTCAAAAAGAAAAAATAAAAATGAATGACCAAAACATTTCATGTGATTTGAGAAGGTAATTTTTAAAAAGAAGGCTAGGAAAAAAAAGAAAAAATAAAAGAAGGATGGAAATAGGATTGCCTTTGACTATGTCTATCAGCTTGGTATGTAAGAAAGAACAATCAAATATGAAAACTGGACAGAATTATGAGATACTCGTTTTTGCTAAATTCAATTCCACCGTATACATTCACGGATGGAGTTCTAAAAGGAAAATGAAACAGGTCCCAAATGCAAACTTAAAAGTAAATACATTTGCTATTTATCAGCCAACCTATCCACTCTCCAGCTTGGCTGGAAATGAAAAATCCCAAGTGTGAGACATGCAGGTTTTACCCAGACGATATGGTGCACTGTATAGATGTCACTGTCTCCCACATACACCCGGATGGCTCGGATGGTAAAGCCGTAGTTCTTCCCTGAACTGTGGATCACAATCGGCTGATGTGGACTGGCAGAAGCTGCTGAGGAATCTCGGCTGGGAGAGGAATCTCGTGAAGAGGAAGGGTCCGAGGACAGGGAATGGGGAGACATTGGACTTCCCAGAGGGGAAACAGCAAACATATCTGTAACGAAGAAGCCAGTCATCAAAGCCCATGTGGCTCACACAAGCATCCATGCAGGCAACCCTCACCCCATGAGCCCTGCCAGGACTGGGGGCACAGTCACAACACAAATCCATTTGTTTCCAATAGCCAAATGAAGACAAAGTAATATAAAAATGTTTCTATGAATTCCAAAACTGTCAAACTTCAAGAGTGTTGCTATTTTAACTAATTTTTCAGTTAGGAAAGAGAAAAAAATTTTTTAGTTTCTATGCTTATTAAAAGACAGCACAAAGATTACCTTCTGGCTGTGACATTTTAATGTTTTATTTTAAGTAAAGAAATAAATCATAGATGCATGTATTTCAAGTGTGTTTTCATGTGAAGACTGTATGTATTATATTAACAGATACTGGATTCCAAATTCTTCACTAAACGATTTTAACATGGTCCTTTTCAACACACATGGCCAGGAAAGCAGTTTATCAATTTACCAGCTGATTTCTACAATGCTATTGAATGAATACTGATTAAAGAATTTTAACTGGCTGGGTGTAGTGGCTCACACCTGTAATCCCAGCACTTCTGAGAGGCCAAGGTGGGCTGGTGGCTTGAGCCCAGGAGTTCAAGACCACTCAGGTGATATGGCTAAACCCTGTCTCTACAAACAATACAAAAAAATTAGCCAGGAAAGGTGGCATGTGTCTATAGTTCCAGCCACCTGGGAGACTGAGGTGAGAGGATCAACTGAGTCTGGGAGGTTGAGGCTGCAGTGAGCCGTGATTGTGCCACGGCACTTCAGCCTGGGCAACAGAGCAAGACCCTGTCTCACAAAAAAAAAAAAAAAAAAAGGAAAGAAATTTTAATCAGGAAAACAATGAAGTGGTGACTTCTCTATAAACGAATACCATTACTGTGGTGACAACTGATTCTCTTCACATATTACTTGCAATTCTAATAAGGTCTCTGAGAGGATAATGAAGGTGAGACAGAGAAACCTGAAGAGAATCTCAGTGCATATTCCAAAACACCAAATCTACTGCTTTCTTTGTTTTAGAAGCAAACTGCTATGCTCTGAATGTTTGTGTCCCCCTAAAATTCCTATGTTGAAACCTAACCCCCAAAGTAATGGTTTTAAGAGGTGGGACCTCTGGGAGGTGATTAGGTCATGAGGGCTCTGCCCCTCATAAGTGAATTAGTGCCCTTATACAACAGACCGGAGAGAGTTCGTTCTTTCCTTCTGCCATGTGAGGACACAGAGAAGGTGCTGTGCATGAGGAACAAGCCCTCGTCAGATGCCGAAACTGTCGGCACCTTGATCTTGGACTTCCCAGGCTGCAGAACTGTGATCAACAAATTCTGTTATTACCTTGCCCAATCTAAAGTATTTTGTTATAGCAGCAGAAATGAACACTTTTATTTTTAGTTCATATCCCTGTTTCATCTACATGAATCTAAACAGACCTTAACCAGTTATGTGAGACTGTCAGTGTGTGTGTGTGCACTTGAGAAAAGGCAGAATAATCTACAAAACATGCTGAGGTTTACACAGGAGCTCAGTTGGAGCCAGGCTACAAAGTTCCCAGTGCTACTGAAGGCTCACCAGGGTGTGGTGAGTTCCACTGTGGCTACCATAAGCTGAAAGTATCCATACTACCCACTATTTCAATTCTTATGCTTGTTCAAAGAAGAGCAAAGCCAACTGTACCACAACCCATGCTCCTTCCCTCTCTGACTTCATGTAGCATCTTGGTTCTTTTCTGCTGGATCCCTTCTGTCTAATCAAAGGACAGGTGAAGAGATGCATGCTGGCAGGCAGGGAACTTCAAGACATGCAGGTGGGAGTAGGGCACTGTGGACACACACAGATCCAAACTGCTGAAAGGCCAGGCCCCCTCTTCTTTACCTTCTGATGGTCTCCCTTATCTCCCCAAATTGAATGATTTCCTTATTCTACCAAAGTATAGACTTCCTCACCAGCTTTCAAAACTACACTGGCCCATATCCCACTTACCTTCCTGTCTGTGCAGCTGCACTGGGACCATCATCTTCAGGTTATGAAGAGTCATACAGACTAGGGATACAGGTGTTTGTTTTATGGAGCTAAACGGGACACCTCCCAGAAACTGAATCTGCTAGACTGAGCACTACTCCCAAATGAGCATTTGTTTATGTCAAATTGCTTTTTGCACAAATATGAAATTTTAAAAACAAAAACAATCCCTTTTATACATGATCTGTATTCTTCCAAAAACAAGCCATCTGCAATATAACTCGAGTCTCTTGCTGTCATTTGGAGTGATATCACAACCATCAGGGTGTATATTTCATTTCTACCAGTGGGATTACTACAGACTTAGAGATCAGTAGAGGCAAAACCAGTTTGTGGGAAAATACTACAGTTCAACAAAACTTCAATTAAGCCCAGTTTTCCAAAACAGGGCAGAAGATGGTTTGCTACCAGTAGGAGGAAGCATAGCTCAACCGACAGGGTTGGGAAAACCTAGAATTTCAATGCTGTCTGTGACTCTATCTCCAGAATGAAAAGCTTATATTCTGTCACTATTTTCCTCATTCATTAGATGAGAAAAACTATATACTTAGCTTTCCAACACAAATGCTGTAAACAGCTCTATAAAGTGTATAAATTATACAGTCTAGAGAAAAAAAAATTATTCAAGGAAGGAAAATTTATCATTTAACTTGGAGGGAGAAAAGAAAAGGAAAGGAAACAAAACAGAAACAAGCTTTCACGGGAAGGAAGCCTCTCTTGTACCCCTGATGCAGAAAGTGAGATGAAATAGGCCAAAATGCTCCTTGGGGGCCCTACAAATCCTGCAGGAAGAATTCAGAGTCTGCAGGCAGAAGCTCTCAAGAGCTGTCCTGGGACATGACCCGTTATTACTTCAAGCAATCTTGCATCTCGTTCAGCATTCCAAATTGGGAGAGGAGGGACGGGACCACATGCACAAATCACACAGTTTCATGCAAGTAGTATCTCTCTACCTCCTGGGATCATGAGGGACAGAGCACTGGCAGAGAGGGACTTTGTGACTTTCCCAGAGATTTTCTTTTTTTCTGTGCTTTCTAATCGCTGCCGAGCCATGTGAGAAGCGGGTTCACTGGATGGCTTTGAGGAATTATCTGTACTGTCCACACACTCGCTTCGTCCATTTATCTGATCCAAGTGCTCTGAAAAACTGCCAACTGTACAAAGAAGAAGGGATAAACACGTTCAGGAAAATCTAGGATAGGAGAGGTGGGAAGAGGGGAAGAGAGAGACAGCAGGAAGAGTAAATGCTGGAGAACATACTCCTATGTGGCCGGTAAGTCCCGACAGTGTCAGGCGAACATTAACAACATGTGATTGGTTTGAGAAAGGTGACGTGGAGAAGGAAGAGATGGAAGAGGCGTCTATTCAGGCTTCATTCTACCTGTACACATGTCTGCTAATTCTCAATCCATGACTCCATTTAACCAAAGGAATTAGTTTCTTTCAACAATCTATATTTTTGAAACCTTGCAGAGACAATTCTGGTGCCCCTACCACCCATACCATGAAAGGCTGTGCTATGAATCAAAGATTACCTCCCAAACACCATGGCCACCCACTTCATACGGTGATTACCTTATGATACTGATTATCATTATCAATGCTGTTAATCATAATTTTGACACGTGGACATTGTTTCATCACTCCCCGTAGGCTTATGCCTGTGCTCTTACAACACACCTCATACTAGACTGAGGCAAGTAACTGATAGAAAAGTGCCTAACGTGTCTCTTCTCGCTTCTCAGGCTGTATGCCTCCATTCTAAGCTCCCTGTACATTTCAAACGACAAGCAAGACAAAGGGGATATTACTCTCTTCATTACTCAAGCTCACTTCATCCTCCTGGCTTTTAATCCAGTGTATCAAATGCTGATCCTCCCTCATGCTATTTCCTCTCCCCTCTAAACCACACCTTCTTTACTTTTAATTTTGTTAATCTTTAATATAAACTGGAGTTATTTTTAACTTAAAAAAATGAGGACTTCCCTCAACAATGGAGCATAAGAGAGGATAAATATGGAGGTGGGTGCAGAAATGGAACATCACTGATGCTGGTCCGGTGAACGCAGAGGCCGAGAGTAAAGAAAGCTCTGCAGCAGGGTGACATGTTGAGTCCCCCAGAAGGAAGCTGAACAGCTATTCCTTTTGATTTGTCCCACTCTTTCTTTCCCAGGTTATTGGTCTTCTATCTTGCTTTTCTTTAAAAACATCATTGATAGCACATTTTTGTCCATCCAGGAGAGACAATGCTCATCTCATTTTTACTTCTAAATGCTACATTATAAGCCCCATGCTTAAAAATCTTCAACTGCCTCATCACCTTTAGAGATACAATCCATGCAGAGTATTTCACACCACTATAAACGATCTTTTGAAGGAGCAGCCAGCACATTTTGAAGTGCTGACCATATGACACTGTTTGCCTAGGAAAGAATTAGACTTAGACTTAACCAGCATTTCTCTTACATTGCCGTCTATACACCACTTAGTGGTACGGTTGTAGTTTGGCCCAAGCTCATGGACGAAGTTCAGACCTTACAGCTGTGGTCTAGCTAAGGGAAGCTGGGAATTTGGACAGCGGCTTTAGGCATGACACACTTTGTGGTCATCTACTGTGCGTATGTACAGGAAAATACTCATGGACTTACACATAACACCCATCTGACCAACAAAGGGAGATAACGTTAAGGCAAATATCAATCTTTTTACTCCTATAAGATCATTATCATTTAACAGTATATTCCATTCTGTTACAGAAATCAACTACTGAAGGTCTTGATAAAAACTGCTTCGCAAGTAATAAATCTCATCTCACAAAACTGAAGCTTCCCTTTGAGTAAGGTACACACTTGCTTCTTTGTAATTTGGTTTGGATGGGATCACTGACAAGTCTAAAATGAAAAGTTGAATCTCTTTACAATGAGTAATTGTTGGATACATTCGACCCCTACATCTAAGACTTCAAGACATTTATTTTGCATGGCTTCAAACACAATGTAGTCATGATAAAAGAGAAACAGGTATAAAGTTGTACTTCCCTAAATGCCAGAGTGTGGATATACAACCGTGTGTCACCTCTCCCCCTTGCCTCTGACATCTCATTTTGCAGCACTGCATATAAGCGTGAGCTTCTTTTCTACCAATGGTAGATAATGTCACTTTAATGTTCTCTAAATGTCAAAGGTTCCTTCTTTTTGGTGGTGGAGCAATATAAAAATCAACAAATTTAATTTTACTACAGTCACGGTTTTCAGACTCCCTAATTACCCTTGGCTATAAGCAAATCAGCTCATCTCTCTATTCTGCACAGCCCCCAAGGCCTTTGATTATTTTTAGTGTGTGTATGGGGGAGAGAGAGAGAGAGAGAAAGATGGTGTGAATCTATTAATCAAAATGCATGGCAGGACCTAGGTGGATTTTTTTTTAATTATGAAAGTAATCAATCAAATGCTTAGACACGATTCCCCTCCCTTCCCCTCCTACTCTTCCAGTAGTGAGTAGGCTGAGGAGACTAAGAGATAGTAAACAGTTCACTATATTCAGAATAAATTCTAAATCGAGGTGAATATACACTATTCAGAGTAAGGTAACTAAGAACCAGATAAAGGCTTTTGTAACCAGGAACAGAAAATGCCAAGATATCTACATGTGATCTGAGCATCAACATGAGCTAGAGATGGTCAGGAATCTTAGTCTAACAGGTTGCCTTTACACTACTTCGTCATTGCTGTTCTCTTGGCTTTATGGTTAGGATAAGTGGAATTATGCAAAATGAAAACAGAACTGAAGTGAAGAGAGAGAAGAAAATCTAACATTATTTTCCTCCACAATAAACTATAAGCACATGTGAAGCTTCACAGATCCAAACTTCTTAGTGAGGTTGAAATAAATCCAGTCCATAAAATTTGTTTTTCTTGAAATGATTAAAAAAAAAAGCTTACACTATGAATATTCACTTAGTTTAAAAAATGTTGATGAAAAATCTTGGAATCATTCATGGTTATCAATACAGCATATTGAATGTAGCTTAATGAAAACATTCATTATAGCAATTCTAAGCCATATACATCTTTTACTTTTTGAAAAAGCATAAATGCACATACTCTATAGAAGAACATGCTGTGCATAAAATTTTCATAAACCAAATGATACTTTAAATGAACTTAAGAGGCTTGTTCTGGGGCAGTTAATTGCAAGTTTGATTATCTAGTGAGGATACCTCCATTATTAATGACCAGCAAGTATCCACGATATATTAAGCTCCTTAAAAAATCTGTGAAGACACTGTTCCTCTTGTCAGGAAGGTTACATCACACAAAGGTAACATTAAAAAAGTGCTTTCAAAGGCCCAAGCCCACTTAACTGCCTTCCAAACATGCAAAGATGTCTCAGGAGTTTCTTACTCCAGTTATCCAGAGATGGGGAAGGTAACTTTTGTCTTCAGCGGAGTTATTTCATATGCACGTAACATACCAATTTAAATCATGTTGGCATTTCTGACTCCCCTTTCCCCTCCTTAGTCCTAGATGGACCAGGACAGCATTAAGTGTTACGCTGCACTGAGCCTGAGTCTAGTGTGGAGAGAGAAATTATTTGGTACAACATAACCCTTTAACAAAAGCCAACTCCATTAAAGAAACAACCATCTATTTCAATGCTAGAGAGAAACCTGGGTTTATACTGTGCCTTACGGGTGATTCAAGACATCTTCAAGGGTAATTTTGACAAGCTGACTACTGGATACTGGCTCTCACACTGAACTTTGAGTTAGACGCAACTGCATAAGACATATCTTTGCATCAACAACTGAGAACACACTCCCTCAGCATATTCTGACTTATTTCCCTCAAAAGATTCCCTGCAACCTGGCTGAGAAGGTGAAATTTGGCCCCAAGGTCAAACTGAAGCAATAACAGTTTGCTGCACGGCTGAGCACTGAGGAGCAGTCTGAGATATCTCATCTTAGATCTCAGAAGATCGTATCCCAAGCCTAAGGACTGAGGTCATGGAGAAAGTCTAGCAGCGTAAAACACCCATCTTTACTGCCTGGCGAGGCCATCCCTGGGACCGAGCGCTAGGAGTCACTTAGTGTGGTGAGGAGGACAGCAGGCACTATGGCCCGAGGCTTACCTGACAGGGTGGAGCTGCTGATGGTGCTGGCTGGAGTGGTGACCTCGGGCTCCTCCTGGGCACTCTCTTCAGGGGGAAGGGCTGGCTTTCCTGGCTCCTCATGGGGGTCTCCAGAGCGGGAGGCAGCTTCATCTTGTTCTCCCTCTGTTGAAATAGCCAGTTTGGGAAGTAGGCCAGAACTGAGTTTATGTCTGTTGCTTTCAGTATCTGAAGAGTTGGATGTTGATAGCTGTTGCCTTAATTAAAAGCAAAAACAAAGTCATATACACATACTAGAAAACTGTGTTAAAGGTGAATTTTGGAAGAAACCAGGTGAAAATCGGACTTAGATAAGCCTAACCAAGAGATGTCTAGCACAGTGGTTCTTAATGTGTGGTACCCAGAGCAGCAACATCTGCAGAATCTGGGTACTTGTCAGAAATGCACATTTTCAGGCCCCACCCGAGATCTACTGGATCAGAAACTCTGGAAGTGGGAGATCTGTGTTTTAACAAGTCTCCCAGGTATTCTGATGCTCACTGAAGTTTAAGAAACTCTGCTCTAGTAGCTACTGCTTACATTACTTAAGAGGCATTTCACATACATTTCAGAATATTCTGAACTCCAGCTCAGTGTTTCTGTGGATGGCAAGGTTGTGCTTTTGGTTTTGTCCCCAGAGTCTTCCTTCTCTTCTGCTGAATTCTGAGTGATTCGATCTATACTGCTGAAAACCTGGAAGGCAAATAATCGGTGCTTATTAATATCTACTAAAAAGAGTTTGTCAGAAAAACACTCCAAGTCTTGGGAGGAAAACCTGAGAGGATAACTAAATTCTGAACTGAAATTGTGTATTCAGAAAGTACTTTCCAGTGTTGTTGACCAGAATCCTGAGAGGAAGGGTCAGAGTGAGTGAGTGTGAGTGTGAGTGTGTACATATATACAAATAGGGAGCTATGAATTCATCATCCTCTCGTCATATCTTGTTGCGGACTTTGTATCTGCAAACAAAATCCACAGATGCAGTGGAGTTTTAGGCCTCGGGATCAATGCACATCTTGATTACTTTTTAACCATGAAGTCAACTGGAAAAAGAAAATAACAGAGAAAAAGATTTAATGGCCACCAGTCAGGGGTAAGAAGAAGAAAAATGAATTGGAATTGAGTGCCAGCAGAAGAATAAACTATCTGTTTCAAGACTGGGTGGTGGTGTGGCAGGGATGCAGTACATATTTTGTTGTAAGAGCCAGAGGTATTTGTTTCGCTTACAAATCACATCTACAGACAGGCAGTTTCCTATGTTGGTGCCGGGGTTCCTGAAGGGGATTGGATCTCAGGTAAGCCCAAGGTCTCAGCTATCTCTGAACCTCTGTTGTCTCATAGGAAAGAGAGAAGGTAAAATGGGGGTCTAAGAGCCTAGGGTAGGAAGCACTCCCTACTGCCCTGCTCAGACACTTGCTGCTCTCATGGGAATGGTCCTGAGGCCTCCTGTAATCTACTAGGAACAGCAGGAAAGTGGCTAAAGAACAGGAGACAGTGGGAAAACCCAATACCCACCAAGGCAAAGAAGGAAGCAGTGTTTAGGGGTTGGCTTTGTTGTCTTTGATGGCCCAGAGAACAGTCCTGGTCTGAGTCCACACTGAGCAAAGCTTCTGTCCTGGCTCTAGGACAGACTGGCTACCACCTTCTCCAGGGAAATCCTTACCTCAATGCCATTCCCATAAACAGGGAGGGTAGTGCTGGCCAATTTGCAGGTGCATCTAGGTAATCATTTAGAAAAGGCTACAGAGCACTTTAAAATCACTAAATGTTATAGAAAAGCTAAACGACAATCATGCAAAATGCCATGGCAACAGAAAATATGTAGCTACTGAAAATAGCAAAAGGGAGGTAGGGTACCCTCACGTTGATTTCCATTTTTCCTAGGGCCCTGTTCTGTCTCAGAACTATCAGTTTTGTTTTGATTAATTATTTTTTTAATCTTACCTCTTCTGGTAAAAAGGCATCTTTCTCAATCATCAGCTTTATTATCTACTACCATTTTCATGATTCTAGCTTGGCTTCCTACTGCCTTTTCAATATGGCTTATAATTTCTGTTTACTGGTTACGAGTCTTTTTTTTTTTTTTTTTTCCTTTTTGTGGAGAACAGGAACTTGCTATATTGCCCAGGCTGGTCTCGAACTCCTGGGTTCAAGCTATCTTCCTGCCTCTGCCTCTCTAAGTGCTGGAATTATAGGTGTGAGCCACCATGCCCGGCAGTTACGAGACTTTACAATCTTACAGTCAACTGTCCCCAGGTATCTTTGCTTATGTCAAGGACTGAGCCTTCTCCTTTTGTTGTACTCTGTGTAATCCCTAGGAGATGACTCTGCACACAGTGAAGCTGGCGCTCGTCATCCTAAGTTAAAAGCAACGAGTGGTGCCTCTACAGCCTGGCATTGAGCCAGGTGAGACATTCAAGGCAAGGTCATCATATAAGTAGCAGTTACACACTCCAAAAACAAGACTTTGGGTGCAAGGCTATGCCCCTAAGAAAACAAGATCTTAATTCATGGAGAGAGAAATATATTTTCACAGTAGCATAGGGACAGACTATAAGTTGAGGGGATCACTTTTCTTCAACAAAAAAGGAAGTTTGGGCATAGGAGACCTCAAACCCTGGAAAAGAGTAAGTGTCCAGCTGTTCGGGGATACTATCTGGCCAGTGGGAGATCCTCCCAGAGAGACTCTGTATGTTTATGCCACATTTCACTTACTTTTGAAAACCTATGTGAACATGAAGAAAACTGCCTTATTTCCACATTAAAATCTTCATCATTTGTGTCGTCTTCTTCCTCCGTTTCCATATGATGATACTTCTCAGACCGAGCTGCAGTGAAATGTTTGGGAACAGGTCCAATTACTCAGATTTTCATTGTTTAGATATTTTAATTATGAGTTTCTGTATCGAATCAGCATTATGTTTAAGAACTCAGAGATATGAAGAGTTTCAAAAGCAAAGGTAATTATTTATCGAGTAAAGGCCAAACAATATTTTATGTCAGATAAAGCACATACTATCAAAATAACTTGTGTCATCCTCAGATTCCAGTTGGGGAATAAATTCTGCCTTCTGTCTCAGTAAACTGTTCCAGTCTAAAGAACGGAAGAATCGATGCTGTTTGACTTCATATGCACCACCTGGAAGTGGGCAGGTAGAGACAGAGAGGAAAGTGTTAAACTATCCCCACTAAGCAAAGGCAAACATCAGTTTTTAACAATTTTGAAAACATATCAGCAAAGAAATACAGACATGAAAATCATACTTTTTCATTCTACAACCAAAGCCCCAAAAATTTTTCTGATAATTTGTCAGTAGGAGATGTGATGTTGCTAACAGCAGTTGCTATGGCACTGTTTTTCTTTGTTAGTTTTTTCCATGACTTCCTCCATTTTTCAAAGGTTAATGTTGTGGACACTTAAAATCACATTATGCTGAACCTGGAGATGTGGATAAATATTGGCCCACAGCAGACTCACTCAATAAAAACCCAAAGAAATTCTAACAAGGTGCAAAATGTGTTCACAGCAACATTTCCTCTGGAGGAGAAGTGAATATTGATAAATTTTTCCTAAATATTATTTATAGGGGTTACCATTCAATTTTATTGGATTGCTCATTAACATAGATAAGAATAAGATTCTGTGAACTACAGATTCATAAGTAGGAAACTGACAAATCTGTTTTAAAGACTTTTAATGCCTCTAAAATATCAATCATCATTTCCAAGTTTTAGGCTTCTTTTTGCCAAGTCAGCATGATAGCATAATTCAGTGAAATGTTTTCAATTCAGTTCATAATTTTAAAGAGTGATTTTAAAGGACAGGCCATCAAAAATATGAATACCGTATCCCATATAAAGAGAAAAAGGTACACGATATAATACCATAGCATAAGAATCAGACCCCCGCCCTGCCACCAGCACACATATTGTTGGAGAGATAACAAAGAATCAACCCTGAAAAAACTCTGAGAGATATCTGAGACGTTAATAAAGGGTCTAATCAGCCTCCCTGCCAAAAGATCTCTGCTAGGTGCAAGTAAATGCCTCGTTCTTGTAATCGTCACCCAGGCCTCTCATCCTGTCCTCTGTGGGGTACAAAAAGAATAGGATGAAAAATGCCAAGTTGAATACAAAATGGGCTGTGAATCTTGGTTGGGGGTTGCTGTCTGTGGATCAAAGATTGGACTCTGTCCTCATTGGACCCCTCTAGCATAAGGCATAGTGTCAGCCCTAGCTCTGAATCCAGCCAGGGCAAATTGGTGTTCTGAAAATGATGGAATGGAGTGAAAACATCAAAGCGAGGAAATTACCCAAAAAAGGGGGAAATGGATTCTTCTTTATAAAACATTTAATTAGAATCTTTACCCTATTCTATCCAGGTGGTTTCCACATTTCTAGCAAAATACTGAAATCTGACAATAAGCATGAGCAGCTACGACTGAGAGTCAACTTGTGACAAGTATTGCACTAGATGCTATGGGACAGGTATCTTGTTTCCTTTAATTAAATCATCAAATATAATCACACGAAGTGGGCATTACAACACCTTTTGTGGATGTGGAAATGAAGCATAAGCAATAAAACACCATGGACCATGATCCCCCAGAGGGTAAAGATTCAAGGCTGAACCTAGGCCTGCCTAAAAACACCCAGGCCCAACCTCAGTGCCACATATAAGGCGGAGGCATGCTTTAATTTGTTCCTACTCCACCATCTGTCTTGCATCGCTTTGCAAACAGATTCAGAACTGCCAATACTGGGGACCTGAGCCTAACAGCCAACTCATGTGTCTGTTCTATAGCACCTCTGCAGAGTCTCATTCCAGCCAACCATGCATCCTTGCTCTCACCTATCCCTAATCAATGCCCGTATACACAAGTGCCCATCTCATTTTCTTCTAGTGCTCTTTTACTTGGAGAAACAGAATACGAAAGCTAAGAGGGCTTAACTGTTTCCCTACCCAACATGGAGGTCGTCAGCACGGTGAGGATGTCGGATAGGGGAAGCCCTAGTTAGTGGTCCACAACACACATCTCTGAACTCCTAGTGCAGTGATGGTTCCACTAGGCCACAATGACTATCACTTCAGCTGCTGCTCATGGGGCCATATCAACGGTCCAGCCCTCACATTTTGGGTTGCTCAACTTTATCAGAAAAGCAGTTTCTCTAGGGCCAAGAGCTCAACCAGACTGCAGCCAGTGTCGGGGGTTTTACCCCACCGCCTGCTATCCTCTGGGACCCAAGCTGGTGAGAGCCTTCATTTCATCCCTGTAGACAATGACAAATGGGTCCTCCTCAAGGACTCACAGCCCATGGTTGATTTAGCTCACATTTCTCACCCTTTGGCCTTTGTGCCTCACTTATGAGAAGCTGGTATTAGTTGGTCCAGTTTCTCATGCACTTATGGAGAGATAAGGAAGAAAAGAAAGCGGGGTGGGGGGGAATTGGGGGAAAATGACTCCGGGCTAAATTTTTGGTAAAATATGGGTGATAGCATCGTGAGCTAAAAACAAATCACTCATGCAAATGATAGTTCTCATTGTAAGAATTCATCATGAAGGGAAAGGAAACATTATTCCTTGAGCTCTTGCTAGGTACTTAGTAAATGAACTAGATACCTTCATGAACATTTTTGCATTTACTCCTCACAATAATCCTGTGAAGTATATACAACGCCCATTTCCATAGACTAGGAAACTGAGACTCAGGGCAATGAAGAAACTATTCAAGACATGGGTAGCAGTGACATCTGAGCAGCTCTGAAGTCCAATGAGTCAGGCTGCCACTCAATATTCTACAAGTTCAAAAGTATAGTTCCAGTAGGACAAGCTCCCAAATTGCAAGTTATGCTTTGACACTAACACTTTCCCTTTTCTCTCCTTTCATGGAAGTTTCTTAAACATCCATTATGTTCTTCACACCCTTTTTCTCAGCCTCTCTAATCTCTTGGGCAAATGTGCATTCGCACATTTTCACGGTGCATTATTTTGCCCACTAAATATGCATTAAACACAAAATGCTGTCATTGGGAGCAGCATGGCAGGCCTGCAGGATTCTCAGCCTCAGGCTCTGGGCCCTACTGGGACCTGTCATGTTGGACTGGCCTGTTTGGCAAGCACTTGACAATTCTAAGAGCTTGGGTAGGGTCTTTTAAATGTCTCTTCTGGGTTTCTGTTAGGAGATTCGTTCTTCAAACTGTCAAACCCTAAAAAGACTGAAAGTAGCAGTCAACGAGAAAATGTGCAGAGAAGTAACTTGCAGCCTATGATTTATAAACACAGAGATGCTGATCATTATCGCATCCTTGTCTAGTTAAATGAAGCCCAAACAAGAATCCAAGTTTTCCTGGAGGAGTAAATACGGGGCAGAATACAGGCTGAACATCCTTGGTCTGAAAATTTAAAATCTGAAATGCTCCAAAATCTGAAACTTTTTGAGCACCAATATGACACCACAAGTGGAAAATTCTACACCTGACCTCAGGTAACAGGGATTAAAACATATATGATGGAGCCAGGCACAATGGCTCATAAGGCTGTAATCTCAGCACTTTGGGAGGCCAAGGTGGGTGGATCAGTTGAGGCCAGGAGTTCAAGACCAGCCTGGCCAACATGGCAAAACCCCATCTCTACTAAAAATACAAAAAGTAGCTGGGCATGGTGGCATGCACTTGTGGTCCCAGCTACTCGGGAGGCTTAGGCATGAGAATCACTTGAACCTGGGAGGCGGAGGTTGCAGTGGGCCAAGATCACACCACTGCACTCCAGCCGGGGTGACAGAATGAGATGCCATCTCTAAATAAATAAACAAACAAACCACCCCACCCACCCACCCACCCACCAACCAAAAACCAAACAAAAAACACATATTATGGGCTGATTGAAGGACTAGGGCAGTATGCATTCATAACAGAACAAGAAATCATGTCAGTTTATGAACTTAGAAAATAATTTTAAGATAAAACTGTTGTTAATGAGGCAGATGACTCTGGAGGAAATGTTTTAAAAAGCCATCCAGCAGAATGCCTCCTCTTCCCTAGAATGATCTCTTTTTATCTTTATAATAATCCTATGAGGTAGTACTTCAAACATTTCCTTTTCACAAATGAGGAGATGAGCACTAGAAAAAGAAGTAACCTGTCCAGGGTCATACAGCTGAGATTTAAACTCAGGTTAGCTGACTGTGGAGTTTATGCCCTCAACCTCAATTTATATTGGGTTTTCAGGTTAAAAGTCCACTCACCCACTGAAAAAAGTAAAAAAGGCACAAGGTGCTCTAGTGAGAGGCTCAACTAAAAGAAGTTTTCTAGTGAAGCCCTAATTTTAAGCCTTTTTGGATTCTCTAATGCAGGGTCTGCAAAGCTTTTGTGTAAAAGGCAAAACAGTACACATTTTAGTCTTTGCATGGCATATGGTCTGTCATGACTACCTAACTCTGTCCTTGTAGCATGAAAGCAGCCATACAATACCTAAATGAGTGGGACGTGGAGGTGTTTCAGTAAAGCTTTATTTACAATACCAGGCTGTGGGACAAATCTGGCTGTAGCTTGCTGACCCTTGCTATAACGCATTATCATAAACTCTAGTAGCACTGCCTTCGCCTACACTTAGGTAAGAACAGAGACCTCCAATAGGAGAATCGGTGGGTGAATGTGGAGAATACAATAAATATTTGTAGCTGTTTCAAATTTTTGTCTTGGAAAAAAATGGGGGAGAAAATGATTTCTTCAGTATTTTCTGTTATTTCTATTAAAATGGGGGTAGAATGAAACAGCTCAGAGTAAATAATCCATCAAGCCAACACTTTTCACTGATGAAAATTATGGAGGCTGGCTAGACTATGTGCATTTATATTTAATATTTAGTCTCATCTACATAAATTCACATACTCGGGCAGACTGGGACTCTATACTGGGATCGCTACGTCTGTCTATTCAGAATACAGAGAAGAAAAGGGAATAAAATGCTGGCAGAACAGTCAGAAAAAATTATCAGCAAGAAGCAAATCTACTATCTGGTTAATCCTGAAAGGCAGGGGTTTTTAATTCGCTTTCTTGGGTCATGGTGCTCATCACTGTGCTGATCACTGTGACAGGACAGCATGGTTCAACCCCAGGCACTCATTTCTAGTAATTAGTCCAAGTACTGATAACCCATTTCAAAGTCTGTGGATAGTAACATGCTGGGTCAAATCCGTATGGGGATGTATATTTAAAGACAAAAACAAAAAGAGTTCCAAATAGCGAATCCTCTGTTTCAAGTTATTTAAGATGCATGCTTTTCAGGACAGAAGAGTTACATGTGCCTTTGAGGTTTTCTTCCAGAGAAGCTTTATTTATTGAAACAAATTAAGCATAATTTCTGCTTTGCCAAACACAAAAACAACAAAAAACAAAGACAACCAACCAACCCTCTTAGTGTACACACTGCTTTGAATCAGGAAACAAAATCCAAAATATTATTGCTATAAAGTGTTGCAGTCATGTTCTACATCAACTAACAGATGTTGCCTATGCAAAAGCAAAACAACAAAAGCTTCAGAGCGCTCCATGTAGACATTATTTCTTGCATATTAGCAAAATTAAAACACATGGGCTCTAACCTGTTCCCAGCCTCTCCAGGGGATTCTGCCTGAGGAGTAAGGTAATCAGATCCTGGGCATCAGGTGGGGGTGCCTCATCCTTCTCGGGCCAGTTGATCTCATCTAGAAGGAAGAAAAGTTGTTTATAACCGTATTGTTCACAAGAGGGTCCAGGTCCCAGCAACATGGTCATCACCTGGGAATTTGTCAGAAAGGCAGAATGTCAGGCCCACTCCAGACCTACTAAATTAGAGTCTGCATTTCAACAAGATCTTCAGTCGATTCCTAAACACAGTCATGCTTGAGAAGCATTATTTTATAAGACATAAGTAGCACAGATTTTTTACAAGGTAGGAAGAGAATATTTCAATAAGCAGATCTTTCATTTGCTTTTTAAATTCATTTTTCTTTCAAAGAATTGGCTTCCAAAAAGTTGCCTCTCTAGTTATTAAAAGACTTAAAATAATAGAAACTCTAAACACTTCCATTTCAGGTGGCTAATATATCCATCCAGGGATTATCTCAGGGTAAGATTTTTCTCTCTTAATTTCCTCAACTGAGAATTTGGCCACAGCCATAGAGTTCTTCAGCTCTAAGAAACAAGAAGTAATTTTGCAAAAATAACTATTTCCGGAAACAAATAAACAAAAAAGGTCAAAGTGCTAAGACTGAAGAAGAAGAAGGAAAAAAAAACACAAAGTAATCATAGTAATGGAAGTATTTAAAATCTGTCATAAATATTAAGAATACATTCTCATTCTGAAGGAGTTTGCCTGAAGATAGGTGTGTGTGCTTGTGTGTACGGAAATGCAATAAAAACATGAGTTATTTCTGTGTGTGCCTGCCTCTAGCTTCCTCTGCTGCAGTTTAAATCTGATTTGGAAAATACAACATGAATATGCATCTGAGCCGTAAGGCATCAAGAACAAAGCCAGCATTTGCTGTTTGTGTTAATTAAACAGTTGATTCCCTTTGCCATTCAGGCCTTAGTATATCAGAAAACAGCCTAGTTATAAATCCATAAACAGCTCAGATATTGTATAAAGGGGTCACACACTGCAGGCAACTCACAAATCTGCTTTGTTAAAGTTTACAAATATGCCTGGCTTGCAAAGTGAATGATAGAAAAGATTGCTGTGATAAAGCGGCCTCACATGCAAAATGATTTTTTCCCCTACTTCCATGCTGGACCTTGTAAACACAGTCCAAATAGACCGAAGGTGGCTGATAAAGATGTCAGTGACGCCTGACAAACTTTCAAGAAGAGAGACCTTTCTGATCTGTTCCAGGGAAAATTATAAAATCGGCAGGTAGGGTAGTGATAGACCCTATTTAATTATCATTTAGTTTTGCCACAGGCCACATACAATAGTTAGGGTCAGCTTGCAGGTTAAGATCTGAAAGTTATTGAATTTTAAATGAAAGATGAACAGCTGTTACAGAAATAACATTACACCATAACAACTACCAATGAAATCATTAACAATCTGTGGATTCAATTTGCTGCTTTCCCATTCTCATCATTTATTATTTGGTAGACATTTGTTTTAGGGTTTATTACATTTTTGTTAATTTCTTCATTATGCCATTAGCCATTTTCCCCATTTATGTAAATGTTACCCACATTAACCTTTTCTTCCGTGGTGCAACTTTCCTATCATGGAAAGGAAGACTGGACGGCAATTAAATTGCCTGTAAATCCCACACCAATTTCCTTTGCAGAAAAAGCACACGATAAAAAATGGTTTTGTTGCTAGTATATTTCCAAATTCTATGTTAACGTAATTTCTTCAGATCAATTTTCAACAAAAACTGCTCTCTTGAGATTAAGAATGTCAGTTATATGCTTTGATGAGTGAGTTCTTTTAATTCGTTGCCTCAACTGTTTGATAAAGGTTAACATTTTAGTAGTAAAAACTGTGACACTCAACAGATTTACATTAAATAGCTGCTTCCCAACAGTGACTTAAAGATAACTCCTGATGATATTTACCACTGATGACTTGTCCAAATAGCTCTTCTGGAGTATCCCCAAAGAAGGGCACGCATCCAACCAGAAATTCATAGAGGATAATCCCCATGGCCCACCAATCCACCGGCTTTCCATAACCCTGCCTCAGAATCACTTCTGGTGCAATGTATTCAGGTGTGCCGCAGACCTAAAAGATAATTGCAATATTTGAATAATTGGAATATTAGACATGAATTAAAATGAGCAAGATGGCTAGTCACCAATTATTTTGTCCAGAATGCACCTGCTCAACCACATGGAATCACATGGACAAAGAACTTAAGAGCAACAAGTATAAAAAAGTATTTAAAATACCAAGGCAAAGAATTATTACCAAAGATGGGAAGTTTACAGTTCTGCTCTAATGTTAAATTATATGTAATGTTTACTTTCAAATTGAGAATCTGACCCTGTTTGGTAGTTTTACCTATTATACAATATTAAAACCACTTATAATCCTTAAATTTAAAATAATAATGCATTTTTAAGTTTGTCATTGTCAGAGAGAGTTTTAGTATCTATATGACCAAAATACATTCACACACAGGTTATTTCATAAAAGCAATGACAGTTGAGCTGTGTTTACCTTAAGTAACTTTACAATGAACAGATTGTGGGCACATGGTAATGAGGCATGCTTAAAGGGAAATGGGCCGTGGCTTGGATTTAGCACCCGTGATGGTACAATGCATCATGAGTTTCACAAGTACTCTACTGAGACTCCTGAATTCCTTACAAAAACAGTTTTCCATTTGTCTCTCTCACACTCTCACTTGTGTGCAATTAGATCGTTCGTCTTGCTAATAGACCATAATGTTGGGAGAGGAATGTAGAGGGAGCAGACAGTTCAAAGAGGCCCAGGGAGAAAAATGGAAGCAATTTGCACTTTATTAAATGTAAGGTTTATACAGACATCTAAACCACCAGCACTAATGTGAAGATGGCCCACACAAGTTGATTCTGAACTTCACTGGCAATACCATACTTTGTATTTCTCAATAAACTAAATGGCACCCAAGCTTACCTGTTTATCCAGGAACTCTCGAGCATCCTTCTCAATATGACCCTCATAAAGGTTGGTAGTCATGCTCATTAGTCCCACCTTAGATAATCCAAAATCTGTCAGCTTTATGTGCCCCATGGAGGTAACCAACAAGCTATGAGGCAGAAGGACATATAACACAATAATCACTTTATAAGCTGGTTATCTATTTTCATTTGCCCCCTACCCCCATCAATTTCTAAGACTATTTAATATATGGGCATCAAGCTTATTACAAAACCCAGCCTGGAAAGAGATGAAGTCACACAAAGATGTCAAATACTTCCATCTAGCAGCTGAGTGTAATTCACAAGGGAGGGCTAGAGACAAGGCGTAGCTAATCTTTGTTGGAGCAGCCACATACAGCATCATTTATAACACTTTGAAACTTCTGGAAAAATTCGAGTATGAAACTCTGATCCCTTTCCATTTTCACATTAAGAAAATGAAAAAGAAAGGGCATATACCAGGAACTAAGCAACCCATTTGTGATACAAATGAGACACAAGATAAAACAAAACAAAACAAAACAAAAAAAACAGAAAAATATTGTTTCAGATTTCAACTTCCATCTCTAATTTAAATTTCTACTCATTAAGCACAAAACCTGTATTTCTTACACATGCAAAGAATCTGCAATTAAATATATTTAAAACTTTTCATTTTAAGTGGGAAAATAAAAAGTTTAAATAGTATATACAGTATTATAGTAATTTAAAAATTAAAAGAATAGAGGGATTTTTTTAAAAAGCTACTGGATGGAAATATCCCAAAATGTTATAGTTGTCTTTGGTAATATTGTGGATGAATTTTTTTCTCTTTTTTTTCCCTGAATTTTTCAAATTTTGTAGAATAAGCATGAGTCAACTTTACCATAAACTTTTCAGCACCCTTAAAGTCTTTACAAATTAATATGTAATGTTTTTAGAGGCATCTCAAATTAGTGGATAAAGCATGAAATATTTAATAAATGGTGTCAAGATGAATAGCTAGTCATCTGGGAAAAAAAGTCTATCTGTATCTCAGATCAGACACCAAAATCAATTCCATGTAAATTAAAAATTACTAAAAAATTAAATTGTGAGTAAAACAGAATGTAATATCAAGCACTTCATCTTGGAGTAGGAAAAGGTAATCTAAGTATGGCACCAAATAGGCCGGGCGCGGTGGCTCAAGCCTGTAATCCCAGCACTTTGGGAGGCCGAGACGGGCGGATCACGAGGTCAGGAGATCGAGACCATCCTGGCTATCACGGTGAAACCCCGTCTCTACTAAAAAATACAAAAAAACTAGCCGGGCGAGGTGGCGGGCGCCTGTAGTCCCAGCTACTCGGGAGGCTGAGGCAGGAGAATGGCGGGAACCCGGGAGGCGGAGCTTGCAGTGAGCTGAGATCCGGCCACTGCACTCCAGCCTGGGCGACAGAGCGAGACTCCGTCTCCAAAAAAAAAAAAAAAAAAAAAAGTATGGCACCAAATAAAGAAACTATCCAGAAAACAACTAGTAGCATTCTATGAAGCCATTATCACATTTACATCATTTAAAAAAAAAAAACTTAAAAAAATTAACTCTGGCTTTATGATTATCTTTTTCTCTTGTTGCTGGTAAGTTTGTTTTTTGTTTGTTTTTTTTTTTTTTTGAGACGGGGTCTCATTCTGTCACCCAGGCTGGAGTGCAGTGGCATGATCTTGGCTCACTGCAACCTCTGCCTCCTGGGTTCACGCCATTCTCCTGCCTCAGCCTCCCGAGTAGCTGGGACTACAGGCCCACCATCACGTCCGGCTAATTATTTTAGATTTTTAGTAGAGATGGAGTTTCACCACGTTAGCCAGGATGATCTCGATCTCCTAACCTCGTGATCTGCCCGCTTCAGCCTTCCACAGTGCTAGGATTACAGATGTGAGCCACCGCACCCGATTGATAAATTATTAATATAAGCATTGTGGGGGGTGGGGGAACTAGGGGAGGGATAACATTAGGAGAAATACCTAATGTAGATGATGGGTTGATGGGTGCAGCAAACCACCATGGCATGTATATACCTATGTAACAAACCTGCACATTCTGCATATGTATCCCAGAACTTAAAGTATTTGTATATATATATTTATATATATATATACACACACACACACACACATATGCATTGTATCGTCTTTTCTATGAGTTTCCTGAACTTCACATAAGCATATCCTTTAAAGATTTACATACAAATTACCATATATACTGTTAAAACAACTTATTTTGGACATTATGGAAGAATTTAAAAATGAACATTGCATTAAAAGGAAACATCTTTATAAACATACAAGAACTTTGTATTGGGCAAAAGAAGATATATATTTCATTTGTGTACATACTTGTCTGGTTTCAAATCCCTGTGTACAATTCCATAATTATGTAAATATTCCAAGGCCAAGACCGTCTCAGCAAAGTACATTCTGGCCATATCAACAGGGAGAGGACCCATGTTTTTCATTAAAGTAGCACAGTCTCCCCCTATAACACAGGAAAAAGAGTTAGTAGCTATAGAATCAAGGCTTAATGGAGAAAATCAGTTTAGACTGCAGAATTTCAAGGTGAAATCATTTCTACCCACAGACACAGCATATCATAGTCACAACTGGAGTCTGTGTGTGAACCTGTCATGTTTCTAACTAAGACATGGTATGCAGAAAATACAGATTTTTATTTAAGAAGTAGTATTCATAAGAGAGAAGGTTTGGCTCTGAAGTGAAACTGTACTCTAAAGAACTGCTAGCATAATTTTAGGATCACGGTAACAATTTAAAATATACCAGCATAAAACATGGATTCTAGAATCAGGCTACCTGAGTCCAAATTCTAGCTCTGCCTCTTACAAGCTGAGACATCCTAGGCAAACTACTCTTGGTTCCTTCATCTGTAATACGAGGATGGTAACGATGTCATCTTTGTTAGAATTCTTATGAGAATTAAATGAGATAATCTATATAAAGAACTTAGGATATTGCCCAACACATATCACATACTAAATGTGTGATAAATGTTAGTTATTGTTTTTGTTAAGATAACCACAACAGAGGTTAAAAAAGCAAAATATTGGTGTGGTAGAAAGAACATTAGATGAAAATAAGGCAAGCTACGTTTTTGTCTTTTATCTACCACTCTATCTAGTAAGTCTTCCTTTCTTGGACTTTATTTCGCTCATCTATGAAATGGAAAGGTTAAACTAAAAGGATATCTAATGTTTGAGTTTTATAGTTTTGGGATTCTGTTCAATGACAACAGCTTAAATTAGATGCTTTGAAATTGCTACTGATCTATTCATCTTATTAACTTTATGTCAACAAGTCATGGTCACTTGAACTCAGAAAGTTAATGTAAAATTGATGGAAATAAGATTACTTGGAGCACTGAAAAGGTAGTCCACAAACCTCTTAAAGAAAGAAAGAAAAAAAGCTAAAAATCAGGAAGACTGGCTTCATTTTCTTGAATGTACCTCCTTTTCCATTTTATTTCATACCATAGACTGAAAAGAATATATATTTCTTTCTGTAAGACTAATTGTGATGAGTACTTTTATGATACATAATAAAAATAAGTAGAAAAAAATCCCATCACCTATATTCCAACTTTAATGACCAACTGAGAGGAGGTAGTTAGGATTAAAAACTATTAAAAAAGATAAACAACCTTTTTCCAGATAGCACTAATTTTCCCTTTGTTATAGTAGAGTAGGCACTTTACAAGCAATTATCAGAAGATAATGACTGGGAATACAGCCATCTCATTTGCCTGGGCTTTAGTTCCTAGGTGGATACAGCCATTATGTAGCACAAATACAGAAAGCTTCAACAACACAAATGAGCAAGGAATTTCTGGGTACAGGTGTCATGTTCTCCGTGTCAGATACTGATATACCTTCCACATATTCCATGACCATGCACAAGTGGCGCCTTGTTTCAAAGGAGCAATACATGCTGACAACAAAGGGGTTTTCTGCAAAAGTCAGGATATCCCGCTCCACAAAGGCCTGCTGGATCTGGTTTCGAAGGATGAGGTTCTGTTTATTAATCTTCTTCATGGCAAACCTCTGCCGGGATTCTTTATGCCGAACAAAGTAGACTGCCCTGAAAGGGAGCAGAAGTATTGGGGTTGACAGGAAGAGAGAAAGTAAGGATGTTTTGGGGATACAGTAAACCATATAAATCATCAACTTTTTAAAAGTTCACATGGCAGGTGGAATGTAGCTCCCACAAGGTGGCAGCTACAAACATCCCATCCCAGGCTAAACGCCTTTGGCTAGATTGATTTTTTTTTAATTCTTTCAGTTAAAGGCCAAGGGTCATATTCAGGCATCAGATTCATCTTCACTGCTGAAGGAAGGAAATGAGCAGTTCCCAAAGTGAGATATTTCTTAATAGCTAGCTGACATTTTCAGTTTTTCCATAAACACATCAAAATCTGATATATGTCAGAACAGGAAAGAATTAACAAAATTACACACATATAACAAACTAGATCCTTTCTAGCATTACATATATATTACGCACTTTTTCTCAACCAACTAAAGCAATGATTTTCTTTTTTTTCCTTCCTTCTTTTTTTTTTTTTTTTTTTGACAAGTCTTGCTCTGTCGCCCAGGCCGGAGTGCAGTGGCACGCTCTTGGCTCACTGCAACCTCTGACTCCTGGGTTCATATGATTCTTGTGCCTCAGCCTCCTGAGTAGATGGGATTACAGTTGCACGCCACCATGCCCAGTTAATTTAGTGTGTGTTTTTTGGTAGAGACAGAGTTTCACCATGTTGGCCAGGCTGGTCTCAAACTCCTGACCTCCTTGGCCTCCCAAAGTACTAGGATTACAGGCATGTACAGCTGTGCCCGGACCCTAAAGCAATAATTTTCTAAATGATACCCTTGGGATCTGCAAAAAACTCCACAGCTTCTTAGAGTATCTGGCTTCCAATTCAGAGACATTTACTTCCGAAGAAATTTCCAGATAAATGAGAAGTACATGTTTAACACATTATATGGGGGTGTCTTGCAACAAAGGGTAGCATATTTCCTCACTGCAATCCTCAGCATGTGCTACCCCATGGCCGTTTCAACAGGAAATGCATTTCTCAGCATAAGAGCAGGCCAACGATGGAGCTATATTTCTGTTCTCTCAAATTCATGGTCAAGGTGTCAGGTAACTTTACAACCAGACCAGGCTGCACTCAATTTCTGCCCAAAGCCTCCCCCAAATACTTTATAGAGCCAATTATGTCTAGGTAAAGACAAGGGACCCACTGAGGCTTGGGATAAAGGAAATAAGAGAATTAGAAGGAGGAGTCTTAACAGTTCATCTGGAAATGATGAGCAACAAGGAACATGTCTTGGATGGGCTCCTTTGTCACAAGTCCTCCTCACTTGTCAATATCATGGGAGAACAAGTTTGAAATCTCCAATAATCAAACAAGAAATCATTTACCTGAAGAGCCATCAATCACAGTAAAGCATGTCCAGTGCCCACCTTATAAAACAGATAGTATGTGATCTGAAATGGATTTTCCACTAGTTACTTAACCGTCCCTGAACAATGACTGCAAGGGGGCCTAGGACACCCTATGCTCCCGCTCAATCAATATATCAGGGTGATTTACTGACATAAATTTCCACTATATTCAATCCCAGTTTAATCAACGTTAACATTTTTCCCTTAAGTGTTCAGCTAGGAATTACTTTTTCTTTCATGTATGTGTATCTTTATCTCTGTCTTCTCATCCTGCTCATCTTTTTCCTTTATTCAGCAAATCACACATCTATATTTTTAAACATTATTATTATTATTTTTGCTTTGCTCATATTTTTCTTCTCTTCTCATTTCTTTGTTTTTCTAGTTCTTCCTTCACTGAATAGTAAAAAGCTTCTTCACCATACCTCCCATAATCAATGCACCAAATGATCTAGTGCTGTCACTCTCACTGTAAACCAGCCAGCTGGGTGCCCAGCGCTTTCCACACCAACTGGTGGTACTCTTCAGTATGATCAAAGCCTTGGGCTCCCACCATTCTGAGTGATTCCCACACCTGTTTTGCTGGCTAGATTTGATATTAAGGTTAACTAATTTAAACAAATATTTAAACTGATGAAACATGAGTGTAAAAAGGGTAAGCACTATTGTTTATCAGAAAACAAATGTTTTAGAAAATCTTAATAAATGTGAGTTACTAATTAAATTCCCGTTGATTTAATGTGGGTGACAAGATTGGCAAAAGTTGAAAAAGTAACAAAAATCTAGATTCCTACATTCATATTGCTTCGAGTTCTTGTTTCACCATTAATGAAGGTAAAATTGGAAAACAGAAACAATGTATTGTAAGTCTGGTTTACACTGACTTTCTTGAAAAGGCCTTCCATCAACAGACTAGGAAATTTATGTATATTTAGGCTAAATTAAAATGTTTAAAACATGTATCTTTTTAAATTATTTTCTACTTTGACTAACTTTTAAATTAAACAACCAACTACTAGTTCTTTTTGTATCAGATTAAAGGCTTTTAGTATATTTTTCTTTCTTCAACTACTGATCAGCTACTATCAAGAATCCACAGATAACTTGAGTTGCTCCTAATCAGATGATGGTAGCAGGACAGAAATACAAAGGAGCACAGAAAATAACTTGGCCATCCCTCAAATAGAAGATAAGTATTGATATACAAATGTTGTCATTTGATCCACCATGGTCAAGTCAGCTTCATCCCTGGGATGCAAGGCTAGTTCAACATACGCAAATCAATAAATGTAATGCATCACATAAACAGAACCAACCACAAAAAACACATGATTATCTCAGATGCAGAAAAGGCCTTCAATAAAATTCAACAGCACTTCATGCTAAAAACTCTCAATAAACTAGGCATTGATAGAACGTATCTCAAAATCATAAGAGTTATGTATGACAAACCCACAGCCAATATCATACTGAATGAGCAAAAACTGGAAGCATTCCCTTTGCAAACCTGCACCAGACAAGGATGCCCACCCTCACCACTCCTATTCAACACAGCATTGGAAGTTCTGGCCAGGGCAATCAGACAAGAGAAAGAAATAAACTGTATTCAATTAGGAAAAGAAGAAGTCAAATTGTCTCTGTTTGCAGATTACATGATTGTATATTTAGAAAACCCCATCATCTCAGCCCAAAATCTCCTTAAGCTGATAAGCAACTTCAGCAGTTTCAGGATACAAAATCAATGTGCAAAAATCACAAGTATTCCTATACACAATTAATAGACAAACAGAGAGCCAAATCATGAATGAACTCCCATTCACAACTGCTACAAAGAGAATAAAATACCTAGGAATACAACTCACAAGGGATGTAAAGGAACTCTTCAAAGAGAACTACAAACCACTGCTCAAGGAAATAAGAGAGGACACAAACAAATGGAAAAACATTCCATGCTCATGGATAGGAATAATCAATATCATGAAAATGGCCATACTGCCCAAAGTAATTTATAGATTCAATGTTATCCGCATCAAGCTACCATTGACTTTCTTCACAGAATTGGAAAACTTCTTTAAATTTCATATGGAACCAAAAAAGAGCCTGCATTGCAAAGACAATCCTAAGCAAAAAGAAGGATGCTGGAGGCATCATGCTACCTGACTTCAAACTATACTACAAGGCTACAGTAACCAAAACAGCATGGTACTGCTACCAAAACAGATATGTAGACCAATGGAACAGAATAGAGGCCTCAGAAACAATGCCATACATCTACAACCATCTGATCTTTGACAAACCTGACAAAAACAAGAAATGGGGAAAGGATTCCCTGTTTAAAATGGTGTTGGGAAAACTGGCTAGCCATATGCAGAAAGCTGAAACTGGATCCCTTCCTTACACCTTATACAAAAATTAAGATGGATTAAAGACTTAAATGCAAGACCTAAAACCATAAAAGCCCTAGAGGAAAACCTAGGCAATACCATTCAGGACATAGGCATGGGCAAAGACTTCATGATTAAACACTAAAAGCAATGGCAACAAAAGCCAAAATAGACAATTGGGCTCTAATTAAACTAAAGAGCTTCTGCACTGCAAAAGAAACGATCATCAGAGTGAACAGGCAACCTACAGAATGGGAGAAAATTTTGCAATCTATCAATCTGATAAAGGGCTAATATCCAGAATCTACAAAGAACCTAAACAAATTTACAAGAAAAAAACAAACAACTGCATCAAAAAGTGGGCAAAGGATATGAACAGACCCTTCTCAAAAGAAGACATTTATGCAGCCAACACATATGAAAACAAGCTCATCATCACTGGTCATTAGAGAAATGCAAATCAAAACCACAATGGGATACCATCTCACACCAGTTAGAATGGCGATCCTTAAAAAGTCAGGAAACAACACATGCTGGAGAAGATATGGAGAAACAGGAACGCTTTTACACTGTTGGTGGGAGTGTAAATTAGTTCAACCATTGTGGAAGACAGTGTGGCGATTCCTCAAGGATCTAGAACTAGAAACACCATTTGGCCCAGCAATCCCATTACTGGGTATATACTCAAAGGATTATAAATCATTCTACTATGAAGACACATGCACACGTATGGTTCCTGCGGCACTGTTCACAATAGCAAAGACTTGGAACCAACCCAAATGCCCATCAATGATAGACTGGATAAAGAAAATGTGTCACATATACACCGTGGAATACTATGCAGCTATAAAAAAGGATGAGTTCATGTCCTTTACAGGGACATGGATGAAGCTGGAAACCATCATTCTCAGCAAACTAACACAGAAACAGAAAATCAAACACCACACGTTCTCACTCATAAGTGGAAGTTGAACAATGAGAACACATGGACACAGGGAGGGGATCATCACACACCGGGGCCTGAAGAGGGGTTGGGGGCTAGGGTAGGGATAGCACTAGGAGAAATACCTAATGTAGATGACGGGTTGATGGGTGCAGCAAACCACCATGGCACGTGTATACCTATGTAACAAACCTGCACGTTCTGCACATGTACCCCAGAACTTAAAGTATAATAATGAGAAAAAAAAAAAAAAGAACCAAAACAGGGGGTTTTCAAACAGGAAATATATATTTCAAAATGAAAGTTAGAATTTTAAATACTGACAGGGAGAAACCAGTATCTTTGTATTATAGTTTGCCTATTCTGGAGAGTAAAGTGGCATACAGCTTATTATCTCTTCCTTCAATATTTGGTTTTGAGTAAGTTTACTGCTGAGGAGCCTTAGACGTATATTATGAATTTCACAGATGACCACAAGGTGGCCATTCTGATTTTCAATCAAGAATCACCATTTCTTACATAAATAACTACTCTGCAATATGTTTGAGAATAGGAGTGAAGGAAGAATGGACTTATCCATGATTTTATGAAAAAATAAAAGACAGATATGCCTCCGGCCCAGTATGACCAGCATCCTTACTGGGTCTCTCTGTGACACTGTATAAAAAATGGCTTTAGTCTTTATTCTCAGATTATCAGTTCATAAAACTTTGTTTGACTTTCTGCTTTCCCTTGCTATGATGTACTTACAATAATCAGTTAATCCTTGGGAAAACTGACCTAAACCAATTTAAAAGAATCCTATAAGTAGCTTGAGATACCGCCGCCTGAGGACATGCATATCTTGATGAAGTCACAAGGGTCAAACAGACTTCCTTATTAGAATTAGTTGTGGGTGGATTTTTTGTTTGTTTTCTGTTCTTGGGTTTTTACATTTCTGTATTGCTTTGGGAATGTTACTCGTCATGTTGAAATTTATTTAGTAATAATTGTTGTGTGTATATATATATGTATGTATACCTTTTCTCTTTTAAGTTGATGTTCCAAATGTGCTTTAAGTTAGCAAAGAGAGAGAGAAAGAGAGAGACAGAGAGAAACAAGGAGAGATACGACAGCCACAGACAGCCAGATATATAACACTGTTGAGTGGACAGTAAACCTCCCAGTGTTAAAAGTTGTACTGAACTGACTGATATGGCTCTACATTTCTTCTCTGCTTTCTGGTCCCAGAGATTGTGCTTTCTTTGAAGAGGCTGCTTTGGTCTCTCTTCCTACACTGACCTCTCTGTGAAACAGGAAAACCCAAGGGTAGAAGGTGGGGGGCGGGGAAGACGTAACCAAAGACCTTAGTTCTCTCTGAGCCAAGCTTCTCCCCACCCATGCAGAACTGAGGTGTGGGAGGGTGGGGAGAAGTGGAACTAGAAGCTGACAGGATCTAGAGCAGAATGAATCAGCCCTTATTGCGAGCATGAACGTCTAGCGTGTATAAAATTATGCACGACTCTGAGAGCCCAATACGTGACTCCGTGCTAGCAAATCTCCATGTGGGAATGAGGGTGCGTGTGCCAGAGGAAAGTTGAGAGGAAAGACTACAGTGAGAGCATGTGGGAGACAGGGCGTATGCCGCTTGTGCACATGTGCCTCTTTGAGACATGTCCCAGGCCCCTTCACAGGTAAAAGAGAATCATGTGCATCAAGATTAGAAGGAAAGGCAAAGTGGAGGAGAAATGGTGCACCTTTCAAAATTAGTTTTTTACTTTTAAAAATTTTAAGTCAATTTTATTCTTTTACTTTGAAAACATCTGAAGTTATGACTTAAAGATCCTGGTGGAAGTGTTCACTGGAAGAACTAGTACCTCTACAACTCCAATTAGGATGGCTAAACATTTTAACAAATGGATACCTTATAGAGAGAAGAGAGTTCCACTTAGAAATCAGGATATCCGTGACTCTGTCTCTGCACCTCTCCTTGCCTACATGTGAGTGGAAATAATATCAACTACCACACAAGGGCTCTTGTGAGAAGAGAACATATATAAAGAAACCAGCACAGTGCCAGGTACATAGCCCCAGCTTTCTATAAAGCACTAAGTTGGCAAAAAGACACGTTTAACTTCCAGTCAGGGATCAGAAGTGTGTTAAACAGAGAAGGAAATCAGATGTTTATCAACTTGGCTTTATAACATGAATTTTCACCAAGCATAATGCTGAGAAAGCCATGTGTGTTTTAGCACTGCAGATAGAAGCCCTTCCTAATGACAGGGTTAGTTCCCAGCTCCACCAGTTTTTGAGGAGTCATGGAATCGGTGCCTTTCTGAGTCACTGATGTGAGTGGTAGATCCTGTGCGTGGATACCTAAGGAAGCCTCTAGAAGGGCCAGTTCAGCAACCCATAGGGGGATACATTTGTTCAGCCAGTTCCCATAAGCCTGCAATCACCCTCACTGACTGGGTGAACCAATAGGGGTGGTTCCATTCAAATTTCAAATTAAAGATTATTAAAACGTGGAGAAAATCTATCAGAAATAAAATGAGAGATTAAATCTGAGATGAGAAAAATAAAAAAAGAGTTTTGGCTGATCAGCAGAGACTCCCACAGGCAGTTTGTGAGTGCATTAATGACTTGGCCTGCATCCTGGGTGTTTACTGATTCACAGCTTGTTTAACTTCTTGTATATTCCCAACTATTCCCCAAAGTGTGATACACCTCATCTACTATACAGTGGTTTAATCGCACTACAAATGAGTTTACTCAACCAGTTAGAACTCCAAATACTGCTAAGATATATGCCCGCATTTTTAAAAGTGGTGCTTCACAGATAATCTTATTCCAGAATTCCACTGCTAATAAAATCTAGCAGTGCTCAAACCCATATACCCATTAAATCAAAGTTTAATCTTCTCTCTAATGAAGCAAGAAATCTTCAGGTCATTTCCAAAAGTGTAAAGAACTAAAAAACAAATGATAAGCAACTAGAAACCACAATGAAATGCATGCTAGAACCATCTTCCTAGGTAGAAAAGTTTCAATGAGGTCCTTGAAAAATAAAATATTGCAAAAATACATCAGAAAGCATTTATAAGCCACAACAGGAAATATGGCATTTGACATATCCTGAAAACAAATCAGTGAAGCATAGAAGGGACTCACAAATATTTAAGTTCTTAAGTTAATGGTGTGGAAAATATTCGAGGCGAAAAAATGGTAACAGAAACATCCCTTGTGGCACAACAAAAACCTCTTTTATTTCAGCTGCTCATTTGTGTGAAAAACAGCAATAAATGTCTATGAGATTGTTTATTGCTCTTTATATACAGATAGAATTGGAATTAATATTTAATTAAACTAGAATTCTTGGGCTGTCTAAACTGGATCAGGTTATAGTTTGTGCATTAATTACGCTTCTAAACTATTAGTAACTCAGAAGAATCCTGTCACTGTTTACCGCCACAAGGAGAAAATTGTGTGTCTATAAAAAGGGATCAAGGAAGGAACACCATTAATATCATTAGATTATAGTACACAGCTCAATTTTGAAAATCCCGGTGTAGGAGTTTGAGGCTGCAGTGAGTGAGCTATGATTGCACCACTGCACTCCAACCTGAGGGACAGAGCAACATCTTGTCTCAAAAATAAATAAATAAATAAATTTAAAACAAAACGAAATAAAAAAAATCCTGGTGTAATAAAGACTAAAACAAACATATTACTCTAAATCAAACTTATCCAACCCACAGCCCGTGGGCCACACGCAGCCCAGGATGGCTTTGAATGCAGACCAACACAAATTCGTAAACTTGTTTAAAACATTATGAGTTTTTTGTGATTTTTTTTTCCCAGTTATCAGCTGTTGTTCATGTTAATGTATTTTATGTGTGGCCCAAGACAGTTCTTCTTCCAATATGGCCCAGGGAAGCCAAAAGATTAGACACTCCTGCTCTAAACCTTCAACCAGACTTATTTAAAGACATTTATCTTAAGGTTGTCTGCTTGTCAGACATGAAATACAGACTATTTGTCATGTAGTAATACTATACAGAAAATTATACATATATGATTATATATAATATACTATTTAATATATACATATATATCTCAATCAAGAGTCAGGTACTTCTTTTAACCCAGAAGGGCAAAAATGAAGGAGGCAGAAACAAGAGTAAATAAAATTTTTCCTTGAAAGTCTTTCTCTCCAACCCTCTTAAGTAACTACTTGGTCACTTGGCATGTTTTCTGATGAGGTGTCCAGTAAGAAGCGATTTTGGCTGTACAGTACAAGTCTCAGGGAAGAAGCAGTGATCTGAAAAGTCAAGTCCTTATACAGCATCTATTTGGCCTTAGATAAATGTGAAGAATAAATGTATTACTTGAGTGTGCAGAAATACAATAGAGAGCTTTTCTTGAATTACTCACCCATAAGCTCCATTGCTAATCAATTTAATCGTTTCAAAATCACTTTCCCGAGGTTTCCTTCGAAGTTTCAGGGAGGCATTAGAGCTCTTGGAAACAAAATATGGAAGTTAAAAGCAGTTTGGAATTAAGAAAATTATTTTATCAGCAAATAGATAACATTTGAGTTATATGCTGTTATATAATATGTGGAAGTACAGTATTCCAGCCACAGGAACCTGAGGGATAGCTTTACAGAGCCATCATCCACAGCAATGCTGACAAACTCCTTGTGACACTGTCACTTAAGTGAATCCACATTTCCAGGCAATCAAGGACAATTCCTGATATTAATTTCTTTTTGTAAACTACTCAGGTTGGCCTTGTCCTAGTCTTTTAACATTTTGGGATTTAACTCCATAATGCCAAGCTTTCCCTTTGGTTTCTGTAGGCCAAAAAAGAATGGGCCGGAGTGGCTCTACATGGGCTGTATCCCTGACAGAGCATGTCTCTTTCATTCCTGCGGCAATCTTCATTGCTCAGAAAAGTAGTAGGCAACACGTGGAACACCCAAGTACAGAATGCCTGCCTTTCTTCACTTCCATGCTAGAAATCTAACACAGCTTACAAAACAAGTTTCAAAAAGATAGCTCTTTAACAAGTTTAACTCAAACGATGGGAATAGAAAAAAATGCTTAAAAGAAATTCTCTCATGCCCCATTTATCTTAGCATGGAGAGGGAGTTACCAGCTCTTTGCTGCCCTCTGCAAGAGTCCAGAATTCCCTTCCTATTGTTTTGGAAGAAACCCTGTGTGGGCGCCATCATCCTCAACTCAGCACTGTCATCACTGACCCTGTCATCCCCACTCATCTTTGGAAGACTTGGCTACCCACCTTCCGCTCCGCCCAAGAGCTCTCTCACCATCCAGGGTAACTTCAGTGTCTACACATATAACCGACCCAACACTCTGGCCTCCAGACTACTTGACCTCTTCAACTTGAACCATCTGTCTCCTCTTCTCCCCCTTGGCCTCTGGCCAAGATCTGGATCTATCTAGTCATCACCTGCCAATGCTCCATCACAGAAAACAGACTTCAAGACTGGGACCACTTACTTGTTTAGTCACTCACTATTACTCTTTTAACTTTTTCATGCTTTTTTTATTTTCTTATCTACTTTGCACTGGCTCAGAAGGTAATTCACTCACTATTACTGCTCTTTCATGGCTTTGGGCTGCAAGGCTCTGTCCAAGGCTCTCTAATCTCATTAACTCTTCCCTACATGAGTGATCTCATTTATGTTCATGGATGACTCCTAAGTCACTTTCACCTCCACCAGAAACTCTCCCTCTGAGTGCCAGAATATAACAGACCATAATTATATACAGCTGCCAGTTTGATGGATCTTCTTGAATGTTTCAAAGGAACTTTAGTCTCGATACATTCAAAATTATGAGTCAGATAATAAAATTAATAAAACAGCTATCATTTATTCAGCACTTACTATGTGATACTGTCCCAACCGTTTTACATAAAAATCTCATTTAATCTTTTACAAACAGGGAAACTAAGGCACATAGAAATTTCCCCCAAACCCCAGCTGGTAGAAAGCAGTGTTTTCAAATCTAGGCAACCTAACTCCAGAGCCTGGGTTCTTATCCCCTAGGCTACACAGCCTGCTCCTGCTTTCCTAATCCCTAATCTGATGCATCCTGGTTCCTCTTTTGGTGTTCACAATTGAGGAGAACGGCACCAGCATCCAGGGCCTCTCACCTGTGCCACGGCAGCAGCTCTGAACTGGCTTCCACGTGGTCACCCCTCCCTCCTCCTCCCACCCCACTGCTTTCTGCACTGCAGTCAGTGTGATTTTTTTCAAGTCATAACTCTGATTGGGTTATCTCCCTGTCCACTCCTCCCACCCTCATATACCCATACACCTCCTCCAAAGTTCAGTCCCATTGCTCTTAAAAAACAAAAACAAAAAACCTGACAAACATGAACAACAGGGACCTAAGTATCCAGTTTTTACTCAAGTGTTCTAGTTTCTGCCGTCTCCCTGGCTTAGTCCTCTGATGTAGCCTGTGTCTGGAATGTTCCTTTTGCCCCTTCTTACCCTAGTAATTTGTTATGTTTAGCTCAAGTGCCATTTCCTTGGGAAATCTTTTGGGACTGGACAGACTATGGCAAATATCTTTACGTTATGGTAGCACATGGTCTTTTTTCTTCATAGATCTCATTCATATTTATCATTTCTATTTTTTGCATGTGATTTTTTATTAAGTTTCGTTTCTTTTTGAAAGAAGGGGCTAAAATTGTATGCTTAGTGCCTGGCACAGTGCCTTGCACACAGAAGCAGAATAAACATTTGTTGAATAAATAAACGAACACAGCCAAAGTCTCCAGATGCTAAACAGAAAAACCAACATCATATTTCATCAAGAAATATACTTACACTCACTGATTCATCTGTTTCTGGAGTTTCTGCTGTCCCACTGTCGTAGTTTCCCAATTGAGCCATTTCTAAGTTAAAAAAAAAAAAAAAGGTAAGCTTAATAAAAATATTGCAATTGGATAAGAATACTAAGCTGAAACAAAAGAAAAATAGTTTCTCCAATATTAAAAAAATTGCTCTAGATTCCAATGTGCCTATGGGAAAATCTTAAATCTAAAAAAAGGCAGCAACTGGTATTTTTGAAATTGTTCACTACACGCCCCTCCCCAGAACCCCGTTTCTTGCAAACACCTAGACATAGGAACTTTAGAGGCTGGGCATAGGAACTCATTGGCTAATGCAATCACCATAGCTTGGAAAGGCTTTGGTGGGTCAACAACTCTGCTTAGAATCAGGTATCCGAGAGAGGCAAGTCTTTCCAGGCTCTGGCGGGCATCAAAGCAGCACTGACTACAGCTAGGGAACGATTCTTAAGTTGTGGTGCATATCTCTTGTTCCATTCCTTCATATCCACTGAGAAATACCCTGCCAAAGACACTAAGAGTTTGAAATTTGTCAGAGAGGAAGTAATAATGGTGGTTAAGAGGGATTTGGATATTAAAAGACTTAGGTTACCACTACTATCTGCATTTACTGACTGACTGACCTTTTAACTTCAAGCTCTTCTGCTGTAAAACGTAAACAATATTACTTACTTCTTAGAGCTTTTTGTGAGTACTGTATGTGATAATGCATGTAAAGCTCTTAGCATACTAACAAAAATTAAATGCTTACTAAATGTTGACTGTTATTTATTATTAATTATATTGTGTAATCAGCCTTGGATTGGGTATCACATGCTTGACACTAGCTTTAAGTACTACCCTGATGATTCAGTTAAGAGACAAAAGTGTCTAAATTGATCAATTCGCATTGGAATACATCCTTGAATTTACAGAAGTAGATGAGAAAATCAAATTCTTTTACTGTTCATTTTTTTAAACTTTTAAAAAATCATTTTTTATTTAAAAAACATGAAATAATTTTCTCTAAAACTATGATAGGTCTTAGCTCAGTGACAGGATCAGAGATAATATTTTCTTCTTTTACTTGTACTTTCCAACTTTTCAAAATTGAACATGCATAATAAAAGTCAGTTTTTAGTTACATATTTTTGTGTGCATCTAAATATATTTAAAATTTTCAATTTAAATAAACTTAATCTTATTTAAAATTAAATAATTAAAAATTTCTTAGGTTCTTATTTTCTGTATTCACGTTCTCATAAATATGATCATCCCTTCTGGGCAGATATTATGCATAAGAGATATGAAGCAAAACAACATTGGAGTATTACCTTTAGATAAAAATTTATAAATTCTAGATTCTGGAATAAGTGGACATTGACAACAACCTTCTCAGTTTACCTATAGGGGAAATTCCAGAATAAAAATGAGTTCAGCGCAAACTATGTACTTTCTTGGTCTCATTCAAATGATGTCAATGTCCAATATGACTAGCACCTTAGATTTGTGGACTTGGAGGTGAACTAAAATGCATCTAGTTGGAAGGGCTCTCAAGGAAAGGGACAAATATTAATAGTGTTTAAATAAAACAGCAACAGCAGCTAACATCTATTAAACACTTACTATGTTAAACAATTACAAATATAAACATATAATCCTCAAAACAATCCTATAAGTAGATGCTATTATTATCTCTTTTTTTATTTTTGAGACGGAGTCAGCGTGGCTGGAGTGCAGTGGTGCGATCCCGGCTCACTGCAAGCTCCGCCTCCCGGGTTCACGCCATTCTTCTGCCTCAGCCTCCCGAGTAGCTGGGACTACAGGCGCCCAACACCACGCCCGGCTAATTTTTTGTATTTTTAGTAGAGACGGGGTTTCACCAGATTAGCCAGGATGGTCTCGATCTCCTGACCTCGTGATCCGCCCGCCTCGGCTTCCCAAAGTGCTGGGATTACAGGCGTGAGCCACCGCGCCCGGCCTATTATCTCATTTTTATGGAAGTAACTGAGGCACAAAGAGGTGCATCACTTTGGATAGTCAAGGTTCACACAGTGTGCAGTGCTGGCTTAGGGTGCCGACCTGGCAGCCCAGCTCCAGAACTCCCAATTCCTAACCTTCAAAGGACAGGTCTAAGGTATGTTAATTTAGACGCTGACAGGAAAGGGAAACAAATGTAGAACAATCAGGGTTTGTAATCATTTATTTTTTATTTCTTGAGAGGGAGTCTTGTTCTGTCACTCAGACTATAGTGCAATGGCGCCATCTCGGCTCATTGCAACCTCCGCCTCCTGGGTTCATGCGATTCTCCTGCCTCAGCCTCCCGAGTAGCTGGGACTATAGGCGCCCGCCACCACGCCCAGCTAATTTTTGTATTTTTAGTAGAGACGGGTTTCACCATGTTGGCCAGGCTACTCTCAAACTCCTGACCTCAGTTGATCCACTCACCGTGGTGCAATTGTTTATTAAATTACCTGGAGAAGTCATATTTCAAATGTTAACAAATAGATTAAAAACTAGCCTCAGGGCCAGGTACCCTGGCTCATGCCTGTAATCCCGGCACTTTGGGAGGCCGAGGCAGGCAGATCATCTGAGGTTAGGAGTTCGAGACCAGCCTGGCCAACATGGTAAAACCTTGTCTCTACTAAAAATACAAAAATTAGCTGGGCATGGTGACACACGTCTGTAGTCCCAGATACTCGGGAGGCTGAGGCAGGAGAATCACTTGAACTGAGGAGGCAGAGGTTGCAGTGAGCTGAGATCATACCACTGCACTCCAGCCTGGGCAACGAAGCAAGACTTCGTCTCCAAAAAAAACCAAAAAAAAAAAAAAAAAAAACCACCCAAAAAAACAAACAAAAACTAGCCTCAGATCTTAAATTAAGTGTCAAGAGTTAAAAACACAACTCCCAGTGATTAAACTCCAAACTTGTTAAAGATCACTATTCATGTTTTCTTTAGAGCCTCTAGAAAGCTAGTTTCTACATGGGCCTCAGATTATTCACCTACCAAAGTTCAGCCTATAGTGATTGCCAGGTAAGAAAACTAAAGAAGTCACTTGGTCCACAATTCAAGAGCTGACGCAATCTTAACTACACCAGCGTGAAGAGTCACTATAATCTACTTTGACAGCCTCCCCAACTCCAACTATTTTCATAAAAAAAAAAAAATTAAAAGATGGTTCTGTTTTAAATAGAATTTCTGCTAAATAACTATTATCTGAGAAATACATATTATTTGTAAGCAGTGGGTAGTAATGGAATGGAACCAAGAGTCAGCTTTTGAAGCAGGAAGCTAAGGCATCATTTTGTAATGCCTGAAGTGATTTTTAAAACTCATCTAAATACCATTAAACATCTGCCCTTTTTATTTCATTGATTTAAACCATTTCTGAAGACTCATGATTCAAAAAGGTAAAGATGGTAATTTAAAAGCCATGGGGAAAAATCTCTCCCCAGGGAACTTTTCAGAAAAGCAGCCACCAGTCTCTGATAAGTGATGAATCTGTTGTGGAATTGCTTTCAGTACAGTATAAATTTATCTGGCATTATCTCACAGTAATGCACGCATCATTTCACTGGAAGCAAAGATACGATGGCCATAGGAGCAAACAAAGCAGGGAAACAGGAGAGCAGGGCAGAGAGCAGCAGGTTCCCTGGCTTCAGATGGGAAAATCTCTGTGCCAACATTTACCATTACAAACAATTTAACAAGATAAACACTGTTTGCAAATTCAATTTAATGAACCGGGAAGACAATTTTGAATGAAGGAGTCAATGATAGTTTTTGAGTCTTTTGGGGGAGTGTATAACTAAATGTTATAAATAACAATCCTAAACAATCATGAACAGGAACAGGTTGTCAGGGGAGTGGTTTACCAATATCAGATTTTTAAAAGTTCACTTGCAGGATGCTTCCTATTTTCTGTATTTAATTTAATAATATTATTTTAAAATGTGAAGCAACTTTTTTTTGTTTTTTTGTTTTTTTTGAGACAGAGTCTCACTTTGTCGCCCAGGCTGGAGTGCAGTGGCGCGATCTAGGTTAACTGCAACCTCCGCCTCCTGGGTTCAAGCGATTCTTCTGCCTTAGCCTCCCGAGTAGCTAGGACTAGAGGCACACGCCACTATGCCCAGCTAATTTTTGCATTTTTAGTAGAGATAGGGTTTCACCATATTGGCCAGGCTGGTCTGGAACTCCTGACCTCGTGATCCACCCACCTCAGCCTCCCAAAGTGCTGGGATTACAGGCGTGAGCCACTGTGCCCAGCCCATAAATCCTTTTATAAGCTTAAAAAAATTTTTATTGGTTCTCCTGTATATTACTATGTTTTATACTTTAAGTAAACAAGAATATACCCTATGAATACTGTACTCAATTTAATCTACCGTCAACTGCATTACTTCCAAAGCAAATTTAAATGTCAGTTTAATTAATGATAATGTCTTTAGCAACATTTTAAAAATTAGAAGTACTCTCAAAAAGAGCCCAACTGAGCTCTGCAGGAGAAAAACTACTCAGTGAAGACTGAAATCAAAACCCTCTGGGACACTCTGGCATTCTCAGGCTGACAGGCTTCTAAGGATGTCAAGGCCTTGACCCACACTCTAGGTAGACACAAAATGGGTCATGCTCAGTCGCATCTCAGGACCCAATTTATGGCTATGTCCTTCAAATAGCAACCAGTCCCCAGATATGGACTTTTCAATAGATAGAGTCAAAACATGAGGAAAAAATAAAGATTTGCCACTTAAGATTTCCTCTATGAGGCGACGGTGCATAAACAAAGTCAAAGGTAGGAACAACCCAGGGACTCACCTTCCAAGGGATCCTTATTGAGTCCCAGTTGGCTAATGATGTACCTGGGAATGTCAGTTTTAATACCCTGTCCTTCTTTGGCATGGCCTTCTGCTGCTTCCAATAGGTAGTAAAATTCTTCCGGATCAAATTCCTAGCAGAAGACAAACACAGATGGATACTTCTTTGAGCCAAAATTGTCTGAGGTTTTATTACATAAATCCCATTCACAATAAAACTGCTGGATATACATGGCTGTAAGTTACTTATGCAGAAAGGAGGCAAATGGATTTTAAAAGTATGTAATTCTCACTTCATATTTGAAGCCTATTCATATTCTAAGCCAACACATTTATGCACATGGTAACCCAAAGATAATGATCATTTCCAATTTGCTTGTAATGTAAATACGAAGGTACTATGCTCCACTTAAGATCTCGCTCATCAGAAATGAACAGGTCTGATTTTTAATTGTGCCTTTCTGGCAAAGTTGTAAAATCTGGGAATTTCCATCCAGAAAATTTGAGATTCAATTTCTCTCTCCACTCAACCAGCAACAAAAGGAATGTTAGAATGCACTTACTCAAAAATGCTGCAGGAAACTCTCTTAATATAGAAGTATCCAAAAACATTAGAAAGAAAAACTTCAAAGTTACCATTTTTTATTAGTTAACTATAAAATTAAGTTACCACTATTCACATAAAGACCAAGAAAGAAAAATGGGAAATTAAAGCCTCTGTCTCTTATAAAACTTTGAGAATATATTTTCCTATCTATTTAATTTGTTGTGTATATGTGGCTGCCTGTTGCTTCTAGTGTGTAATAAATATCTTCAGGATCACCACACTCTAGATGGATGCTGTGATACTATCAAATGTATGTTTCGTCTTCATCCCTGTTTTCTGAAATACCACTCCTGAAACCCTTGGAATCTCCAAAGTAATAAGTGGCTTTCTGTATTCTAGTGAGTTGACGGGTGGCTGGGCACTTCTGGGCAGCCTCTGGAAGAGGGCTGGTTGTCAGGGGAGCCTATCATATGATGAGAGGGTTGGGAGTTGCAGCCCCATCCTCACTTCCACTTCAGAGAGGAGCTGAAGGTTAAGTGGATCATGAATGGCCAATGATGTCATCAAACATGCCTATGTAATGAAGCTTCCATAAAAACCCAAAAGGACCGCATTTGGGGAGCTTCCGGATAGCTGAACGGGTGGAGTTTCCTGGAAGGCAGTGCAGTCAAGGAGCTTTGCACTCCTTTCCTCATGCTTTACCCTATGCATCTCATCATCTGTAGAGTTTTTAATGTATTTCATAATAAATTGGTCAACTTCAGTGTTTCCCTGAGTCCTGTGAACCACTCTAGCAAACTAATGAAACTCAGAGAGGGGGTCATAGGAACCTCGGTTTACAGCAAGACGGTGAGAGGCACAGGCAAACCATCTGAAGCTCGCAACTGACATTGGAAGTAGGGGCACTCTTGTGGAATTGACCCCTCAACCGGTGGGATCTGATGCTATCTCTGGGTAGACAGTGTTGGAATGGAATTGGAGGACACCCAGCTAGCGTCTGCTGCAGAACTGCTTGCTTGCTTGTTGTGTGGGGCTCCCACATAACTGGTGTCAGAATCATGTTGTGAAAGCACAGCAGGAGAAACCAAGTTTGGTTTTTCCTCTATGCCCAAAGGGATGCCATGGATTTATGTGTTGTAAACAATTATGCTTATTGCCTAAGCCCAGTTATTAATTTCAGTTATATTTCCTGGATTTTTTCTGGAGTTTCTAAAGGTCATTAAAAAAAAAAAAACAAAACTTGCTATAAATGGAGTAAAGTTAAACCAATGTAAATACTCAGAGTCTTTTACATACACACCTACTACAATGACTGACAGAGCCTATAGGGATAAGATGATAGCTTGGGGGAAGCATCCCCTAATACTATGAAACTCCAGTTTCATCTAAGCTTTAAAGAATACTTTGAAAGCAGCAATATTTCCAAGCTACTTCTAAGTTCACTTGTTTCTATCTTTGAGAAGCTATATTTTCTCTTTTCTCTTCTGATTATGAGTGATTACTGTAAAAAGTTGATTTCCTCCTTTAAAGCAAGATCTGCTCTTAGCATATCTATTGTCCAGAAAAACAAGTTTTAACGCTAAATGAAAGTTTCCCCTAAATTAAACAATTGTGGGAAGTACAAACATGTGGTCCGTAATTCAAAAGCTACAACAGGAGAGGCAGTAAAAAGTTAACTAACCCTTCTACCTGGATTTACCAGTCACCCAGTTCTCGTTGAAGTATCCAAGTTTTTTTCCTTTTAGCCTTCCAGAGACACTCAGTGCCAAATGGTGTGTTTGATTCTATGATTCTAAGGGTCCTCACCATTGATAGAAAGCCCTTCCCTACACCTCCCAACTCCTTACCTTTCTCCTCAAGATTTTCCCTCTGTGTCTGACAAGGCACTAGTATATATTTTTGGTGCTGTGAATATTTCACTATTATAAATTATTATGGATGATAGTTAAAATAAGGGCAAGACCAAAGCACTGAAACCATATGTGTATTATGTAGGTATGTATGTGTGTATTTCTGAAAAGCTGTATTGTATGTGGTGTTATAATTACTTTAATAGCCAGTGGAACTTAAAAGTGAGTTTTGATGCTATATTAGTAGATCCTTAAAATAATTCCTATGTTCACAGCTTAATATTTGTTCACAGTTTTAACTGAAACCTCCAATCAAAATTCCATAAAACAAAAACTTCTCAACAGGAAAATGATAACTGGCCAAAAATATATAATTGTATTTATTTTTAATTTTATTTATTTTTACTTTTTGAGACAGAGTCTCGTTCTGTCGCTCATGCTGGAGTGCAGTGGCATGATCTCAGCTCACTGCAACCTCTATCTCCTGGGTTCAAGTAATTCTCCTGCCTCAGCCTCCCAAGTAGCTGGGATTACAGGCGTGCGCCACCACACTTGGCTAATTTTTGTATTTTTAGTAGAGACAGAGTGTCACCATGTTGGCCAGGCTGGTCCGGAACTCCTGACCTCAGGTGATCTGCCTGCCTCAGCCTCCCAAAGTGCTGGGATTACAGGCGTGAGCCACCACGCCCAGCCAAAAACATATAATTGTTAAAATGAACTAATCATCTCTAGAAATCTCATTCTTTCAGGTCTGCATGAGGCTCTACTGTATTTTCCCAAATGGGATGGTTAGCATCTTATTTTCTAACTTGCCACATTTTAAAACAAAGAATAATTATAAATCACAGGTTACTATTTATCCCTGCATTTATCTCTATTCCTTCTCTGCATCTTGGCAACTCCAAAAAAGTGAGGTACAGCAACAGTTTTAAATTAGCTGTGACATAAAGTAATTATGCTGAGAAAAGGTCAAGCACATTATTTTATGATTCTACTTCAAGTTTGCCTAGAATATCTTATGACTATCACTTAGTAGAGCAAAAGTCTAGAAGTCTCTTTAAAATCAGAAAGGACAAGTCACATATTGACGTCATAAACATTCACAACTTGTAATTCCCTTTGACTTTTTCCATTTAGCTCTGGTGTTGGAAACCAAATGAAGCTGGAGCTTTCTGATGGTAACTGCTTTCCCAGTTAACAATAAATAATGTAGTCACATCGAGGGGCAACTTACCAGGCACTCTAATAACCGAGCAGGGCGGGCAATAACAATTAGAATCTTTCGAACTAGTTGTTTAATAAATGCCAGTTCTCCACTTTCTGAACGATCATGAGCCTAGGAAAAAGCAATAAAGAGAGTGATGATGCAGAGTTGTTTCATTAAATGGAAAAGAAAATCAGCAAAGCAGGCTAATTAGATCACTGCAAATGTTCAAAAATCAAGTAATTTAGAAAATGCTGTTAAAAGATTGATAAACAGACATTATCTGTATATAAATGGACACTATTAAACTCCTATATCTACAAAATCTTTCTATTAGCTAAATCTTAATTGCAAAACTCTGATATATTATCTGTGCTAAAAAATCAAAGGGCACTTAATGTGAACCATGAATGAAGGAGACATTAAAAGTTTATGACACATTAAGCACACGGTACAAGTAGAGTGGGAAGCTGATCAAGAACCTTGATTTTCCAGTTAAGAACATCTTAGACATAAGAAATGACTAATATAGTGAAGGACTGCTTTTATCCTGGACACTTAACACATTCTTGAAGTATATTTCACATATACAATATGATTCGCCTATAAATTAATTATATTATCACACATAAAAAGTGTACAATGCATTTTTCAAGTGTTAGCTGGATAAAGTATATACCAGTTGAGTATCCTTTATCCAAAATGCTTGGGACCACAAGTTTTTGGGTTTTTTTCAAATTGTGGAATATTCGTATATACACAAGGAGATATCTTGAGGAGGGGATCTAAGTCTCAACACAAAAATTCACTTATGTTTCATGTACACCTAAAACATATAACCTGAAGGTAAATTTATACAATATTTTTAAAGAATTTTGTGCACTCATCACATGAGGTCAAGTAAGAGAATTTCCACTTGTGTTATCATGTTGGTGCTTAAAAAATTTCATATTCTGGAGCACTTTGGAATTTGAATGCTCAACCTATACCTGGGTATATAAATGTGAATTCAGTTTCACACATTGAATAAATAATACCTAGGCACTTAACTTAGTAAAATTTAACTTAAAATCTTTAAAATTTTTATTTTATATATTGCCCAAGCACAATAAATATTCTGAGAGCAAAGTTGTTTGTTAATAGTCATTTAAATTTTCAATAATATTTTCTTGAAAAAAATCAGATAAATCTATATCAAGACAGGCACAAAACAAGTTTAGAGGTTTTAATGTAAACTTCTCTGTTACGTTCACTTTTAGACTTTCTTAATCTTGGTTTTTATGATTTACTTTCCTCTAAGGATTAAAAAATACCATTTCATTGTGATGCTGGTACAATATAATTTCACAGACACGGTAATAAACATTAACAGTCATTCTTCAAGGTGCTTTACCATGACAAGGACCAATCCCCTACCCACATGAAAAGAACTGGCAGAGATCAAATTTATAAAAAATGATTGTACTCAGAAGTAATATGTCTACTGAATTGAAACCATCCAATCCAAAGTCATTTTCCAAAACACAGGCACAAAAACCATATACCGGCAAAAGTAAAACAGTTGGCTTTTGACATTAAAATAAAAGGAAAAATGACCATCAGTGAATAATCATAGAATAGAATGTGCTCGAAGAAAACCAACTAGTAACTATAACAACAGGTCCTAGTACCCAGGAAGGATGCTAGGACATATATAACAATGCACATATATATGCATCTCAAATATTGAAACTGCCTTTACATTTTCTTCCCAATTTTTGCTTTGCAACAAAAATAGATTTTTGGAAGATCCAGTGAATGACAAAAAATATGGTTACATCTTCTTTATGGTTTATCCTCAACCAAACTAAACAGAAAACTTTAAAGATGAAGCAAAAAAAACAAAAAACAAAAAAAAAAAACACCTAACTTCTTAGTTAACACTTTGGGCAGGATACAGAGCTTTCTTCTTACTATAATAATTTTTGCTTTATAAATTCAGGAATATAAAGAAAATCTGAAAAGCCTAAATACATTTTGGGTTGTCTCTTCAAAGAGAAATGAGAATTTTTTATCTTAATAAACTTAAAAAAAGTCAGTTTAGATTAAATAAATTCAATTTCAAAAATCATAATCAGTTCATTCTAACTTCTTAGTTCTAAGAATTATCAGTCATAGCCAAGGATAAAACATGTAATTTACATTAACTCAAACAATATTTTATCTACTAACTTAAGTGGGGAGAAGGAGCCCCGTTAAAACAACACAAAATAAAGACACAATTAGCCCGTGAAGAGAAATTGGTTCCTGGCTGTTACCACCAAGCTCCAAAGGGGAAACACTAACGGATACCCTGTGTCTGTATTTTAAGGGTTGGCCACTATAAAACATAACCATGACCCAGATTTGAGAGTAGGTTAGCGCTTCCTATGTATTTTATTGTCTTTGGCTAAACTTCTGTAAGTGCAAAAAGAATGGAGACATAAAAGCATTCATCTGGAATTGTCTTAGGCCTCAGGACTTTAAAAAGGCATTAAGGTGCTGAAATCTTACGTGGATTTTACTTGGGTTATGGAAAAGACAGGCAATGAGAAAAATGGCTGGGAGATAGGCCTACAGAGCACAGAATGTCACAGTTGGGAACTGACAACTGCATCCTGGGGAAACGAAGGCAAGTTCCACAATTTGGCTCTATCTAAAAAGGGCAGGCCCCCCTGCAGTGGATTAGCTCCATGTTCTGGAAAAATACTGTAAATGTGATTAGGCAAATAGTTTGAATTTTTACAAAAGGACTGAAGGAAGCTCTTTATCTATAAAGCTAAACAAGAAACCATTCTTATTTATACCCAACAAGACCTTTATGCCACAAGTATACATGCTTCTCTGGCCAAAAAAGAAATTTCTTTAAAAATCAGCATTTTAAAAATAATAATAGGACCCATCACGTGATCTGTGAAACCCTAAGATTTTATTTTAATTGTCATGAAACAATCTGCTGCGTCTGTCACAGAAACAAAATTAAGTAGGGGATTTCAGTGTAAATAGCTTTGGATAGCAATCCTACCCTTTTCAGGGCATGCCTATAAAGGAATGAAAAACACAGGACTAAGCTGGTAACTATGGTAATATCCTGGGACAGAATTGCAGAATTAGGAGTATCTCACAGAGGCTGACTACAGAATTCCTGTGTCTGCCTCTTCTGTTCAAAAGTGCACTATTTAGCAAACATACTTTCAAAATATTCTCATAAATAGTAATATGCATAGTGTTTCCAGCATTTTCTGGACTCTGATTTGATTAAAGCAACAGCAGAATTAGATTACTTGATACATCCTAATAGGCTGAATATTTTGGTATGCAGTCGTATCTATTTTCTTCCTTCCCCACTTCCACGGTTTCTGAGGAACTGATAAACACCAGGCACTGAATTCAGCACCAGAGCGTTAGAGATGACTCCTGTTCCTCAAAAAGCCCCCTGTCTGTTGGTAAAGCGAGACTGCAGAAGTCAGTACAACTCATTACGGCTGAATGCATTGAGACGAAGGGCACAGCAACGGGCCATGTTATGGTTTATACCTATGGGCAGAATAGAGCCAATAAAGAGTTTTAGATAGATACTCTTGCAGCTGCATAAAAGTATGAATTTGAAGAGTTAAGACTGGAGGGAGGCAGATTGGTGAGGATGAGGGTTTGAGCTGGATGAGGGTCCGAGCCAGATAGTGATTATAGAACAGGAAAGAAGGGTTGTAGAAATATTGAGGAAGTAAACTATGAGGTCTAATGGGTTGCTTGAAGAAGGGAGAGAGGGAGTCTAGTATTCTCAGAGTTCCAGCAGCTGACTGGGTAGATGGCAGTGCCAATGACAGATGAAAAGAATGTGGGAGAAGCATGTGTGATTGAGGAAATGCTGTCTAGTTTTACATAGGTTGGGACTGCTGCTTCAGTGAGCTGTCCAAGTAAAAAGAGATTCAGCAGGCAGGTGGATCCATGATTCTGAAATGTGAAAGATGACTACTGGTCTGAGATAAGGATTTGAAGCCATTAGAGTCTATAGGTCTTTAATCCAAGACAGCCAACAAGATGACTAGGAGAGAAGGAGGAGGAGTAGACTAAGGATGTGATTGTGGGAAAACTTATAGAAAACAGGTGTTGGAAGAGAAACCCCTGGAAGAGGCAGAGAAGAAACGGTCAGAGGTGTCCCAAAAATAATAAATTAAAAGGAAGACAGAGAAAAGGATGGTTTTAACACTGCTGAATGCAGTAATATTCCAGTAAAATGTCCAGTGGATATGACAATAAGGAGGATGTCAGTGAGTTGAGGGGTATCAGAAGCCATTCACTCAAAAAATATTAAAGTCCTTCTATGTGTCACACACCATCCTAGGTGAACAAAGCAAATAATATCCCTGCCCACAGAGACTTTATACTCTAGTGTAGAGCAGTCAAAGGGCAGCCTGTGGACTGGGACCAGTCCACGACTGTTATCTGTGCGTGACGAGATATCTAAGTACAATTTTAAGCGTAAGCATGTGGCAACTCTTACAGCAATTTTATATTGTAATGTAACTCATTTAGCAATTTTACATTGCCAGGAAACTCAAGTATATGATCATTTTCCTGTAAAATTCATTTTCCTTTTAGTTTACAGGAGAGAACAGGTCCATGCCAAGTAAGAAATTAACAGAAAAACCCCAAAAACAATGTGTTCACCCCTAAGGATAGTCTGAAAGGGACTGCTTCAGTGGACTGCAGTCAGTTGCAATGTGAGAAATTGGGAAAGAGTATAGAAGGCCTAGATGGCAAAGGGGAGAAAAGTAGCAGCTGCCAGCCAGAGAAGGATCTTATTTGGCCAGCTAAATTCTGCAGGGGCAAGGACAGTTAGAGTTCTCAAAAATTAGGATGCTAATATTTTCCTTCAGTTTTCTGCAATTATTTACATATTCATGTTTTAGAGAAAAGTGTCTATAATTATGTTTACACAGGCATAATTTGTGCCTTGTGAGATACAGAAACACAATATATACAAACACATAGGCTAAATAGGTTTCATTGTAGGCTGTGGCTGGTCAATTTCAGTCAGAAGAGCAATATTATACATGCATTCCATTCCCCCATACAGACTGTCTTCCTGTCCTGGGTGTTATCAGGTGCTAGGCATGCAAGTGTTAGGCCTAGACAGGACCTGTGTTTATCTGTCATTTTGGAAATTGGATATTTTGTTAGAAAAAGAACTGACACTAATGAAAATGTAAGTTGCCATTTACTACCCAGCACCACGTGCAGGTTAATTAATAGAACACACAGCCTGGAAGAAGCCAGTAATTTTCCATTTAGTTTTTTCAGATATTAGGACTAGATAGCATCATCAAATAACACACATACGCTCAGGCAATTTATAACTTTATGGTTAAAGGGGGAAGAAATCACTGCTTCAAAATCCTTCACAATCCACTTATCCTAGAGTCATAGATTGTTGGGTACCAAGGTTCCTGTAAAGGTTATTACATTAATTTTCTATTACTATAAATGATGACCAGAATCAATTTATAGCAAGTAGCAATCAGGTGAGTTTCTTTTTTTTTCTTCCTTCTTCTTTGCTTCTCTGGAATGTGAACTCCATTTCATGGTTATAACTTGTAAGCAAAAAAAAAAAAAAAAGAATTTTTTTTCAGGGAAAAGCAAAATGAATCAGAAAACTATACGGTGCATGGTTCTTACCTCCTGTAGCAACTTATCTAATTTGTGCTGTAATTCAAGGAAGTATCGTGAGGTGATGAGGCCCTGGTGGGATTTATCCAAGCAATCTCGAGCCAGTTCAATAATCTGGTGGTGAGTGAAACTAAGCACTCCATCTGCTAGGGGTAGAACATTGTCAGGAGAGTAGCTGGTGATAATTTCCTTTAGACGTTCTTCCATCTGAGCTGTAGCCTATATAGAGAAGACACACATACACAGATGTAATACGAGGAAACACACATGTAAACAATTCGACCATCACATTTTTTATAGCATTTTCAGAGACCTCCACAAGTCATTAAATGGGATTCTAGAAATCAAATTTAAAAGAAGCCTCACTTCTGATAAAATAATGGTACATACACGTCATCAGACATTTGTCCGAACCCACTGATTGTACAACACAAAGGGTGAATGAACCCTAATGCATGTAGGGGGGGTTCACACATAGCCTTTCCAGGCACATGGGAAATCTTTGTACTTTCTGCTCAATTTTGTTGTGAAGCTAAAACTGTTCTTAAAAAGTTGCTTAAAAAAAGCAGCAGCCTCAGCATGTGAAATAAAGATCTGAGGATACATAAGTGAAATCAGTATTTCAGAATGATAAGTCTCCCTTTTCTGTGTTCTATCAAATGTAAAATGGTCCCTGTAAGCTTCTTCAAGTAACTCAAATTGTATCTGTGAATTGTTATGCTTTCATTTAAGATCTTGGGCTCTTTCAGATGGATTGTCCAAAATATCAAATATTTCTTTATGTTTTTGTACTTAAACATCAGGATGTTGCTAGAGTTCCATGACCTAAGCTAAAAATGTATCTTTTTTGGCTAGGTTTTAATGTGCCAGGAGCACACATCTTATATCATCTTCTTTTCCCAAAAAGCTACATCCTATGCAAAAGTCCCAGGGGACTCCCTTGGTAAAATAAACCTAAAATTTCCTTTCCAACTTTCATTTCATTCTCTCTGGTCACCCACTGCCTAATCCATATTCCTTACTTACATTAATTATATATGCAGGGAGACTCCCTCTCCTTCCTCTCTCCTCCTCCCCTCTAATATCCTAACCTGCATTAACTAGGTAACAGTCAGTATCTGTTTCCCTGGTGAGCAAGTTACATGTGATAAATAGCTAAAACAGCTTTAATCAATGACATCAATGCTGGGTTAGTTGCAAAAAAGTACTCTACTCTTGATTTATGAAACCAAAGATTTTCATTTGTTCTCCAGCTTAGGGCAACACAGGCTGTGGGGACGGATCAGGAAAAACATGGAGAGTGGCCTTTTCTCAAATGTGCAGAAATGCTTTGGCGGGAGAGATGTGGAAACAAGGTGAGTTAATGGGACCATCTGGGAGCAGGTCCTTGCAGCCAAGGGCTTGGCAGCAACTCTTCACAGTTGCTCTCTCAATTCATGTTCTTTTACCAGTCTAACTGGAGAACACGACAACTGTGCCTTTTCTTCTAAATTAATAGGGTTAGAAATACAATGTCTAAAGAGATGGGAAATCACAGAAAAGTAATGTGGAAAAAAAAAACCTCTCATGACACACCAATCTACAGGCTTCTAATGGAGAAAAACAGTCTCTACTTAACAATATGGTGTAGGACCAGAACATGGGTACAAAGTGCAGTCTAGAGGCCTTTCAAAGTAGACCCTCCCTACGGCACCTCACCAGGCCTGCCCCATGTGTGGTGCACAAGTGGCAGGTTCACTTTAGAGCCAGCTCAGCATACAGAGAGCACAGCTAGTTCTCAGCAGTTGTTAGCTTAACATTTTTTTTAAAGTTATTTTCTCTTTCTAAGAAGACTATGGAGCTGTTTTATGCAAATCATTACTAGATTGGACCCTTACTTCCCATAACCAAACCACCTTATAGACTCTAAACCTATGCTGCCTGTTCGTTTAGATGCTAGGCATCTTCAATTCAATTCATTACCTTTGGGAACCTTTCTTTGTAGACATGGTTCATCATAATTATTTCATGGTCACAGCAGGCGGGAGAACGTCCAGGGCTGCAAGCAAAGCAAATTACCCTTTTAAACTTGCCACAGCATGAAATGAAAATAAGCTTTTTATTTATAAACAGTCAGCTGCATCAAAAGTACTATGCAACCTTTGTAAGAAAAGTATATTAGATAATAAAGTACAAAATCAGTCATTAGTACACATGCACACATACATTCCCACAAACACAGAAACACTCTGAATAGGACTGAAAAAGAAAGCTCAAGAAGTGGAATGCCACAAAATCATCATAGTTACAATACAATACTAGTTCAGAAAGTGTTTGTAAATTGAAATTATATTCTGCACGTAGTGTGAGCTTGCATAAGATCTGGAAAACAATTAACAAACTACAAAATAAAACAAAATAGGGTAGCTACAAACAGCAACATCTAGGACACGTTTAACAGTGTAATTTCACACTTTTATCATACACCTGCGGTCTGCCACACATCACTGAAAAGGTCTGAGTCTTCCATGGCACAGGTGTCATAATTGAAATTCATTTTCTAGCCTAGCAAATATTTATCTGGGATGCTGAGGTAGGCATTATGTATAATATGAAACAGAGGCATACAGCTGTTGTGCATTCTTCTTTACTCTTTCAATAGTAGGTTCATCTTCCTTCCTAGTGGTATATAGTTGTGCAACTTCAGTGTGTTTATATTCCTAAAGGGATACAGCTTATACTACGCATCTTAGGAATTCCTTTAATAAAACAAAAAATGGCACCCATGTGGTAAAACACGGTGCCTGTAGATGAAATAGTAAAACCAGTTGTTAATTCCATATCTCAGAATAATCTAACATGTCTCACAATTATCCAGTGTGGCTATATTTACTATTAGCTTATAAGTCTAAGTGAAGACAAAAAGTACAAAGGCAAATTGCTTCTCATTAAACTTTGATATTCAACTGACCACCTAATAAACAAGCTATTTTTTAATATAATAAAACCTTAAGATATCAAAGTTCACTAATTCTATAGCATCAAGATCTCATACTGCAGTGGACAAGGTGATGCCCTGTCATGATCCCTCCTTCAAAGAAGGACCTGTTGCCCGGCTGCTGGGAGTGCTGTCCACAGAAACCTTCAGCTGTCAGTCCCTGCAGGGATGGCATCAGCTGCAAGAAGTCATCTCGCCTGAGGCTAAGTCTTTCCCAGGGTGCCACATCCAGTGAGGGACACAATGACTGAGGTAGGGATATAAACGAAGGCACAATTGGGCCAAGGGAGCAACTCTGCTGAGTCCTGTCGTTCCCGAGCTCTCTGTGGAGTTGGCTAAAGCTGCTGGACTTCTCCCTCTGCCCAATCCTGCCTCCCCCTTCCCTCCCACAGGTGCTAATTTCAAAAGCACTCCCGGAGAAACATCCTGAACAAGAAGCTCTGTTTTAGATTCTGCTTCCTGAAGAAACAAACTCACAGTAAAACTGGCCCTATTCAGTGTCAAGTGGACTACATTTGGCATCCACAAACTTCAGGTGACACAAACTCCTAAAAATGTGCTCACAGTCTTAGAGAAAGTAAGACTTATGACAGGAAGAAAGAATAAAAAGATATTTTGTAATATGAAATCTGGAATTTAAAAAAATCCTCCTATTCTTGTTGTCGTTCTATTTCCACCAAGCTGTTACCTCTTAACATAACAACATTAACTGCTTTTGCACTGCCTTGAAATTTCCAGTGGCTAGACGTTTTCATAGGTAGTCCTGAGACCATCATGATTACTACTACTGCTGCAATCAGCAAATTGTGAGAACTGAAAAGGAAAATTATAAGACGCCTTTCAGTGGTCATTAACAATATTATGTGTACATGGAAACATTACGCTATATTTGTAATAGTTTGCAAGTCAGTTCACACACATATGAACTAAAGGACTAAAGTCTTCACTCAAAATGTTTGAAAATAGAGAATCCAATTAAGTAATGGTTTTCAGCCAGGCCCACATACCTCAGACTTCGGGAACGGGGGCGCATCGGCGTGTTCCTGCATCTGTTCTCAGTGGCGATGCTTTCGGTGGTACAGAAATGTTTCGACAAGAAGTGTAACTCGTCCGGTGTTGGTTGGTATGGTAACTGATGCAACTTCTCCTGGGAGGAACAGGATGACTGAAACAAACCAAAGTGAGGTCACATAACTATCTCAGAAAGAAACTCTTCAAAAGAATAGGAGAGATCGATGAGTTAAACTTGGGTAATACTACCATTTTTATTGTTTCTTTTTCAGGTTAAAGTTGTAAGAACTACTGCCTAAATGTATAACTTGATGTTCTCTCTCAGAGTTCAAAATGCTTTCCATATTTTGCCTCATTTGTTTATAATTTCCCAAAAGGTAGTTTTCTCTCTGGAGAAAATCCAGGCTGTGAAAATGGATCGGAACCAGTCAAAGCCAAAGCAAGAAAGCAACCACTGGAGTGACATTAGGGAGCACTGTATCGCAGATTAGCTTTCAGTTGAACATGGCACCCCCGAGTTTACTGCTGCTCAAAATCAAATACTGACTTTTAGGTAAATAACATAAAATAAGTGATATGATATGAGATGGTCAATAAGGCAACGAAACCTCTCTTTATAATGCATCAGAGTGTGCCATGAGTGAAATAGGGGAAGGATTAAAGAAGATACTTTTCTCAATAAAGCCACTGTTTTAAAATCTGGAATTGAATTTTCTTTATTCTTTTTTCTCGGAGAAAGTGAAGGGTTGAGACTATAACTTAAAATAAAAAAAAAAACTTTCAAGTCGTGTTGAGTTTTTTGTTACATGCCTGTAGATTTGCTTTTTAGAAATCGTCATTCAACATTTGGAACAAGGAAAGACAGGAAAGGTGAACAGCTAAATAACCCTGCTTTTAATCAATCTGAAACATTTAACTAAAAAGCAAAGAAACTATTGTTTTCATTTTTAGTTGGAGGTAAACTCCTAAGTAATTCTAATAAAAGAGACTGAGAAATTTTTTAGTAAATGGAAACACGGTTAGAATAAGCACATTTTGAAAGATATTACTTATTTTAAAATGTCAGTTCTTGTAAGCATTTTTTAAAAAATCATTATATTAAGAGTACCCTTCATAAATACTAAAACACTGTAATGTAGCAAAACTAGAAATTAACGCCTAAAGCCTAAAAATTATTCCTATAACTTGAAATTACAAAACATCTTAGTACATATTGAGACAAAGAGGAATTTTTATAATGTAATGAGATTATTTTACAAGCAATAAAAAAATGAGAACACTACTAGAAAGACTTATGAGATAAATCAAAGCTCTATTCAGTAAGTACAGTCATGGCCTTAAACACTTTTCACTAAGAAAAAAGAAATAAAACACATGAACTAAATCCAGTCAAGAAATCAAGAAAAAAAAATAAAATCAACACAAGCAGGAGATAAGCAGTGGTGATCAGAGGAAAGATAAGGAAATTAGCAAATAGAAAAACAGAATTAAGAATCTATAGATATTTCTCAAAGGTAAATCAATGTCCACAATCCTGTATCCAAGATTTCAAAACCCACAAACTCAGAAGTTTGTTCCTAAGTTTACAGTAATCTCTTTTGGTGGCAAAGCACCAACTGAACTGATGTGAAGCTGTTTAAAATATTTATTTAATCTACTTAGTGTGAATGTTGATTCAAGCTGCTGCAGAAATATTAATATATTTGATTATGAGTGGCTGGCCCCACTGTTGCTGGTCTGTTATGTACAGAACAGGGATGTTACCTTTCTCAAAGTGAAAATTCCAAAACACACCAGGCTCAAGATATTATGCAACTGCACTTGCACAGGAACAGTATCTATTGACTTCAGAGAAGGGTCCAAAGAATGAAGATGTACAAAAAAAATTATGCTGCTAGTTCTTAAGGCAATTAGAGTTCCAAAACCATGTTCTGAGTCATGATATCATTCAATAAGCATTTAGTCTCTGCAGGTAACCATTTTGCAAAGGATAGTATTCATATGCACATACAAGTTTCTACTTTTTATTAAATCATATCATTTTATAGACATACCTCATATTTTTATTAGTACTTATATTCTTATTTCTGTACTTTCACTCAGCAGAAAATAATTTATCTGGTAAGAAACATATGGGAGAATGTCTTCTGACTGCTACAATTCTATAGTACTTATTTCAAAATTAAGAATTATCTGAATATCATATTGGAAAAGCTCCACAAATTAATTTTAACTGCAAACTGTGATGTTAGAAGAAATTGCAACACTGAATATTCTCTGGGAGGACTGATTTACTTCATCTGGCTAAATCTTTCCAATTTCAGAATATAGCATTTTTAACATTTAGCAATTTTGCAGTTTCCATAATAACCAAAGGATACAGATATTATAATGTTTACATTTCAGTCTGGCATTCAGACAACAGCTGAAATTATCTGTAAAGTTTAAACTATATTTTCAAAGTTTGAAATTTTATTTGTATATATTCTACATCTGATTTTTTAAATAGTTAAAGTACATTTCTGATTGGCTAAATGACTAACAGTTAACCCAGGGAAATGAGAATCTAAGAGTGATTCAGATTAGCTTTAGAAAAGAAAAACCTGCAACTACTAAGAAGTTTTACACACTTTCTGCCCTAATATTTAAAGAGTAGGACCACAAAGAAACTGAGAAAAATAGAGAAGTAGCTTTTCTAGTTTTCACTCATCACTTTTATCAATAACCAATAAAGAGAAAAAATAATTGAACTTTCACACTACAGCACCTGCAGTTCATAATCTAAATAGTCCCTTCTGTCTGTTGGCAAAAGGAATAATTCTGGAAGCTCAAATTTCATTTGGGAGGAAAAAATAGGAATATTGAGCCCAATAATTATATGATACTAATGTCTTCAATAAAATAAACACTTCAGAGAAGAGCTGTTAGAAACACAAAGTATGTGTGTAGACTAAAAACGGTCTTGGGGGTGTCTTCCGTAGGCACATACAGAATTTAGAGACAGCAACGACTCCATTTTGACTGATGACCAGGTCAGCTTTATTAATTACAAGGTTTATCTGAAGAAATGCCATGTAAATTCCTTTAAAAAAGCCAAGAGACTGGGTTCTAAAACTGCTCACCATATTCTTATTGAGAAAACATTGGAACAGTAAACAGTCACTCAGTTAAACAGTCTCTCTGTGCCTCAGATTTCTGGCCCATACAATGAAAAAAACAACAGCAATTGCCTGATAGGGGATGTTGCTAAGATTAAATGAGCCAATGCATTTTAAGAATTTAGACCAGGGCCTGGCATATAACAAGTATTTATAAAACAAAATTATTTAAAAAATTATTTCTACCAAACAGGGTCCGATTTTATGTAGCTCACCTTTTATTATGGATTCACTTTTAAAAATGAATGACTTACTAAAGATGGAAAGAATACAAATCCTGAACTCTCCCCTATTTTTCTTGCAAAAGAGAGATTTCTATGTCCAAGTTATAATAAAACTTGACTGAAGGCAATGCAAGGTGATAGAGTTGAAATAAAAAAAAAATGTGGAGTTAAAAGACACGTCTAAAATACTGGCCAATAACCACTGATAGTGACTGCCATAAGAATCAAGGATGACTTCACTATTATTTACTGACAATTTTATTCATTCATGCTATTCAGGATTTTTAAGCATCCTTTACTGATGCTGATGTGCCTCTGAAATCACTCAAGGTTGTTAGCATGTTTCTAAAAATATGATCTAATGGACAATAGACTCATATATCACAACAAAGTGGAATAATGGATAGAAAAATACATTACCTTTGCTCAATGAAATATCAAAAGAAGATGGTAAAAATAATGCAACAGTTTTTAACAATTTGGTTTTAAAGGGACACCAGAAAATCTATGCTATATTATTATACTTGGAATTCTGGAAATACATCAGTATAAGGCAGAGGTGATATCAGTTAGAATTTATCTATTTAACTGTAGTTTCTTGTCATTCAAGTGTTATTAAGTGGCTAAATCTATGTGCTTAATGGAGTGCTGGGGGCTCTAAAAAATACAGTAGATGGATATCCCTAAACAATAAACCAGAGATTTTGACAAAATGAGGCTCTAGGTCCACATTCCTCGCTGGTACAAATAGAGCAAGATCACTCCATATATTGAACACTTGCAACCTACTAGGCCTTTCTAAATGACCACCTTGTTTCTACAGCCCTGCAGATACAGTTATCCCACATGATTACTAATGTAAACTAAAAAAACATAGATCTAACCTACAGTTTCCAGTAATGGCTAGGTCTCTTGCTGAAATGTTAAGTTTGGGGCAAGAGTATCCATTTTCCTCTATCCTATTTTCATAATTCCACCATATCTCTGTTTATCTTAACCTTCTTCCAAGTTGTTTTAATTTCTTCTTAAAACAAAGTTCTTACCTAGAAGGCATAAATTAAGACTTGCCTTTTCTTTCTTTGAAAGAGAGAAAAAAACAAAACCAAACAAACCTCTATCTAAGCCACATAGGAAGAAAGACCCAGTCTGTGAAAGTTCAATGGCATTTTTAGCACTAATGTCACTGGCATGGAACCAAAGCAATAAAACTAGATTGTGTTTTTTCCCCCCAAACTACCCCAAATGTAATTAAAATGAAAGCTTCCAGTCTCCTCCAAACGTGTGATCCTGGAACTTACTCAATTTATGCACTACAGTTTAAAAGCTTGCAGTGAAAGTATGTCCTTTTTATGTCTGTCAGGCCATCATTTGATGCGTCGCTTACTCAGAGTGGCAGACATGCAGAATTTATCTTCTCCTCCCTACCAGGAAACACCCAGAGAAAACACTGCCTGTGTAATAGCTCTGTTGTTGTGAGGAAGAGAAAAAAAAAAAAAGTCAGGCACTTACAGAGACCGTAGAGCTGGGTGTGTTTGTCCCATAGCCAGAGGAAGGGAGAGAAGCCAACGACCAGCGGCGTCCATCAGTCCTATTGAGAAAATGAGTTTAGCTTAGGCCAACGTTGGCATACTGTCACATGGGAACTCCAGGGAAACTAAGTATTTTTAGTCAAACAAATGACACAAACATAGTCTGTGAGGATGTGGAAATGCTCAGCAAGGGTAAGGGTAAACAAACATTATACAGTAGGTTGACTTTTATTTAAACTGAATCAATACAACCAAACAAGTAGAAAGTGAATGGGTTGATCCATATTATTGATGTCTCACTAATATACTCTGACAAAATGAATACCAGGGATAATTACAATGGTCAGACTCAGCAGATTCAAATGAATAAGAACAGAAAGGGAGGAGGAAAACACTCTCATCTGGAAACTGATAACGAGAGCAAATGATCTTTGGAAGGGGCTGATTTCCAGCATGGCACAAGAGCCTGTGGGGACTTTCTTTGCATCTGAAACACTTTCTGCTTATGATTTTCAAGGGAACAGTTCTACTCATCATGCTTAGGGAAGAAGGGATCATTGGGCTCATGGCTGGCTCAGGCCTGAAGTGTCAAATAACTTTAGCATTAAGTAAGTAACTGACCTTATGCTTAGAATCTCTTAAGAGTTACTGCCTTCGGACATGACCTGGCTTGTTACAGCAAAGCCTCCTGCCCAGTCTGAGCATGCAGCCCAGCTCTGGCTGGTTAACAGTCGGGGCAGAAAGAAACCTTCTCCATCAGTGATAGAACTTAATGCAAAGACTAAATTGTTTGCCTCAGTCTTAGAGGCAAAGCTGGGAGGAGCCATGAAGAGGGTGGTTTTTATCTCCAAGTGATGACAGAATGGGTGGTTTCTCAGTTGGAGTTTGGCTGTGAATAACGGTCATTACAAGGGTCTCAGATGAGTGAATGCAGCAGTAGAAACAATACTGCTGCAAAGGGAAGGGGACACCAGAAAGCAAATTTTCTGAAATCTCTGGCATTCCAAGCTATTACTTTAAATGCAATTTTGAATAAGATTGTGCCTTAAAAGCCACAGAACATTTTGAATGTTCTATGCAAATCTGCCAAGGGGCAAAAAAGGAAACACACACTTTAAAAACAGCAACGTTGCATTCTTAGATCAATAAGACTGCAGTGTCATATATGGACATTTCGTAATTTGTGTTATTACGTTTGTAATTATGTTAACTTGCCAAGTGACAAGAGTGGACAAAATTTACCAGAGACACATTCACAATAAGTTGAAGTTAGGGAATTCAACAGCATCAGGCTTGAATTTGAGAAATGTCACCGTTAGATGTTAATGTAAAAAACTGACATTTTAGCCTAAATTTATATTCATGGGAAAATAAAATTATAGGCTGCCATGGATATAACCTCCAATAAATGCAAATGGTCCACAAAGACAAATGGAAAAAGTCAAGTGGACAAATCACAGAACTACCACAATGTTAAGATTTTAGTAAAATTTACCTGTCATTTCTGTACCATGATTGGAGTACAATTGAATCAAGTATGTTAAAAAAAAAAAAAGAAGCAAAATAAGATGTATGTAAATATACCAGATAAAATAAATTGAGATAAGTTATATGTTCTTTTGAAATACTTTTAAACAACTGAAAATGTTAATGATTTAAGAAGAAAGTAATTATATAACATGTTTATAAAGATACTTGATTGTTAAATGGACACTTATTAAAGAGTTAAGAATCCATACCTGCACTATATATTTTAAGCACCTCCAATTTGATAAAGTAAGAAAAGGATATGATTTTAAAAGAATTATTTAGTCAATTTAATAGCAATTATCAGAAACTAGTCTCTGGAAAGAGTGAGGGACACAATTTCCCCCCACTATGATTTTCTTTTGTGATTCATTAACTCTCCTTCCCCTCAGGTATCAATGAACATATTTCAGATGAATGAGCAATTCCAAGAGAAGACATGTTCTTATTAGTTCTGAAGCATAAATTACATTTGCTTGCTCCAGAAAACACACAACTAGAAAGATGTTTAAACATGAATGTGCTCAGTACTCTGTACAGCCACGGACCAGAAATAATTTACAACTCATAAAGTTCCCTAAGTTGTCTATGTCTATTTACTCAAATGGAGCACAAAGGACCACTGCATTTTCATTACCATGACAACTGCACATCAGAAGTTACTATACATGCTATATACAGTACTTGAGAGAACATGCCCTTTTTTCAAGAAAGCTATCACACAAGTGCAATTTGGATCCTGCTAACAATGTTGTCTTTGCTTTGCAGTAGCTACTATTGAAATGTTATAGGAAGACAAGACTACATTCTTGCCAATGCAACAAGCCTTTTTTGAAAAGAGTCTTTTCCCTTGTGGGTGGGAATCTTGGTGTTACATTACATGAAAAAGTAAGAAGAGAAAAACACCTGATGGGAACACAGGACACAAAAAAAATCAGCAAAAAAATAACAACCTTTATTTCAATACCACTCACAAAAATTTAGATTAATATGGTACACAACAAAGAAAGAATAAACAGTTCCAATATCAACCTGGCTATTCTAACTGTATGAAGAGGAAGCAGATTTATTGTTATAGTTACCTGGAGTGATACACCGAATATTCCAGTTGATGTTGGAAAAAGTTGAACTATGCCAATATAGTTAACTCAAATCTACTCCAGAATTCTGAAGGTGTAACTGAGAGGTTACTATGATCAGACTCAGCAGATTCAAATGCATAAAAACAGAAACGGAGCAGGAAAAACACTCTCATCTGGAAACTGATAACAAGAGCCAATGATCTTTAGTAGGCCTGACTTCCAGCCCAGTACTCTACAATTGTCTGATGACCTGAACTCAGCAGGGAAGTTTGTAGTAGTAATTGGCTTGTAGAAATACACTTGGAGATTCAACCTAGTGCATAATAATTAGGCAACTAGGAGAGACCCACAGCATTTCTTGGAAGGCTCTATGTTTCCTACAAAAGTGAAAGCAATCTGCAATACATAAACTTCCACAACTTCTGGGAATGGCAGGAGAGTATTTTTACCTCCATTTTACCACCAGGGAAAAAAGGATTAAGTAGGTCCACAATCAGGCGGATTGTAAATTAATACCACAATTAGCAATGTGAAAATGTTTCCTTGCTCCAGACAACATCTATACTATGGTTCTCACTTTCATCTTTTATTTTACTTAGTAGTAAAAAATAATTCGATTATTTCACTCTCAAATCTGCATTTGAAAATATAGAAAGCAAGTCTGTGTCATCATACTTTGTACTCTATACTTGGACTATTTTGTTACAGGGGATGGCTACTAGGGAAGTATTACCACATAAGTTAAGAAAGATCAGAAAAGATTAATAAGCCAGACTTTTATCCCTTTACCCAAGACTACTTTTAAAAACGAGCAATATTTCCTCAATTGGACTAAATTTTACAAAACAATAAAATGTGGGAGTCTCAAAATGACATTACTTCTTAAAGACTCAGCAATGTGCACCAAATGGAAGGTAACAGAGACCTAGGAGTGGAATCTCCACGTTGCCTGAGGAAAAATCAACTCTAAAATGGAGAGAAATATCCCAGATGTTACATAAAAATACACCAATTTGAGTTTTCATGACACAGGGTTCTGTTTACTTGAATAACAGTTTAAAATGATGATCACTCATGTCTTAATCTAAATTAATACTTTTTGAAGAGTGTGGAGGGAGTTCCATTCGGAAATTCATGCAAATGAACTAGAGGTCCCCTGTGATAATCTCCTGTCACGGTTTATGGTTTATTCGTCAAAAATTAACATGCCTGGGGGGTTTATGTATTTTTTTAATAGCATGGAAACCAGATTCACGTGTCCTTCAGTCACCTATTTATTAGATTCTCTTCATTTGTATAAATCTGCCAGGATTAAGATACTGTGATTTCTGTCATGTTTAAATGCACTCCATGAGATTTCCATTTTTCTTATTACTTATAATAAATGCATTCTCCCCTTTATAGAGATAGGTTTTAAAGACTATAGTAAACACTTACTTACTAATTTTTATAGGATTTTTTCCCACTTGGAATAGTAGCACTATTATGAATTAATATTCATTGGGCAAACAGGCTTTCTGGGACCAGCACATTTTCTTATAGTACTCAAGAAGCTAAAAAAAGAGAGGTTGGAGCTGGGGGTAAAAACAGCGTATGGGTCTCCATAAGTTCCCTGGAGATGATGTTTTTATCACTCTTGTATTGTCCCCATGGTGAGATATATAAAGGCATTTAACACATGATGGGAAACAACTTAACTATGAAAGAACAAACCTTTTCACAGCAGATTTATAATGAAATCTTAATTACACAGAATTCTGAAAATGCGGCAACTATTTTTTTTAGACTTAGTAATGTAAAATGCATGACACGCTGACAAACGGTCGTGAGGGCGCTCCAAGTTTTGCTGGTTAGTCATGTGTGTAAGAACAAGTATTTTTTTTTTAACCTACCTATGTGTCTTTATTAAGTGCTACCTTAATCCACTTCAGGATATAGTTAGGTCTCTGAGGAAAACTGAGCAAATATCTAGGACATTCAGATCATAAACCGAGTTTCTCCTGAATATTCAGAAACTTGGCTGAAGGTGCCATTTTGTTGTCTTGGTGTTTTTCCTGGGCAGAAGAGGACAAGCTATGCACGTGAGAGGGAGGAAGGAGCCCAGGAAGGTGAAGGACTGCATCTGACAGGGCGAAGCAGATGAATTCCACATGCAGAACACAGAAGACACGACTGTGCACACTCCTCTGACTTGGCTACGTCAGAGTAGAAAATCCACAATGCACATGGTGTGACATGACATTGTGCGCCTGCTATCCTCTGAACAATGAAAACACTTCCTCTTGACTCAGTGGTCCAGTTATAAGACATCTATCTTTGACGTCTGGTGCCCAATTGCAAACATGATAGGAAGAGAAAGCAGAAAACATCCTATAGCCCATGCATGGCTTTTTCTCACTGGGATCACTAAATTGCTAGCTTGAAACTGCTAAAGCAGGTGTGTTAAAACAAAGCTTTGTGGCAGCCTAAGCTCCTCTGGCCAGTGGGGCTTTGGAGAAGGCCTTACAGAATAATGAGCAGGACCTCGCAGGATACGGAGCAGGGGAGGGGGAGAAGCGGGGACGGGAAGACGCGGGGAGGGGGAGAAGTGGGCAGGGGGAAAAGTGGGGAGCGGGAGAGGAAAATGTGATTCTCTCTATAAGACTTTATGCCTCCACTCACATAAAGTCCTTACCTCCGTGCAAATGAAAAATGGGCTGAGGCACTGGGGGAGAAATTTCTTGGACTATCTTGAGGGCTATTTCCTAGAGAGAGAGAGAAAAGAGAAAATTTTACTACACGATTTTGTTTTTGTATCATTTCCACCTCAAGAATCCTCTCCTTAGAAATAAGTTTATTTACATTTCTGTAGAACGTCCTTTCCTCCAATAATGCTTTAGTTTTACCTGGACCAGGGATGGTGGGGTGGGCCGGGGGAGGAGATGGGGATGGGGGAGCATGAGTTCCAGCACAGCTTTCTTAAGTGTGCGAGACACATGAATAAACACATTCAGCTATATCACCAACCAGGAGTCCTGCATGGATATAACAATACAAATATTTCAATCTGATAGAGCAATGAATATATACAAGTCTTGGTTGTGACCCTCCAGATGCGAACATTTCAATGAGCAGGATGCAAGGGTAAGCATATGCTTCAATTGGAGGTGTCTTCCATTTTAGCAGGCAGCCTTAGTACTTTTTGTTTACAGTAGACTGAATGAGTCTGAGTTCCTGAAGATGAATCCTCATATTCTGAAGCACATATTTTAAAGGTGGATGTGTCAGAACTAGTTGTAAAACACTGGGAAGACCACAGCAGTTTGGACCTATTTCTCAATGACCCAGATCTAGCTCAGCATTGCCAAGTGGCTCAGCAGGATTACCCCTTGTCAATATTTTCCTCAACAATCCCTCTGCTCCTAAGCAGCTGGACTGTGACTGACCAGGCAGCCTCAAAAAGCCACAGCCACACAAAGGCTGGCAGAGCTCATCTTCCCCAGGCCTTCAGGGGTGGTGTGGAGCAGTGATTGCTCGTTGGAAGGAGGGCAGCTCCTCTGGGGCTTGTTACTTTCTCCATTAGCCCACTCAACCTGCTGCTGATCATTGAGAAAGCTTGGCCAGCAGCTGGCGAGGGCAAGTTCAGGACGCTCCAGACCACCCTGCTTCCCTCTGCATGTTTAATTAGATTGGCAGAATTGTCTGAGGACCACATGGAACTGTAGCTGGTTTAAATAAGTGGGCAAGGAAAGGCTGCAAAGCAATCCTGTACCTTCTAGAAAAAAGAAAAAGGAAAAATAAATCAGGAAGCTACGTTTAATCCCTAACAGCAAGTCAATTGCCACATTACTGGTTTCTTAATGAAAGTGACTACTGTAATTGGGTGTAAGGAATACGAGATTTTACGTCAAAGTCAGTACCTGGCTGTAAAGGTAAACAATTTATTACCAGTGTGCAGAAAGAATAGACTAACACATTAAGGAGGATACATTTAGTGTTACCTTGAGGACGTTTGGACTGACTATATCTCTACTGAAATTCTTCAATTAACTTAAGGTTGCAAATTTTATAGTGATGTCTTCAACAAATGCCATTAACTTTATGACAGACAGCACAATCACAGCCATTTAACTGGGAAGCGCTGAGAAGCCCATTTCTTTATGGATAGAGAATCATGAAGCATTTTTCCCCCTGCTGCAATGAAATTTATCATGGCTTTGCATCTGTTATTCCTTGGGCCCCTGGAGAAATGAATTCTGCTTTTGCCATCCAGTAATCCAGGATTCATTTTGTCCATTTATCTACACAGCTAAATTAAGTTCTTTCAACTTCTCTCAACAGCCTTCATCCCCTCTCCTGACACCCCTAATTTAGCTTGTATATTTATCTTCATATTCCTTTAAAAATCTCAAATTTCAAGATGGCTAAAAATTTTGTTTCCTAAAGGAAATAATCTAATGCCAGAAATATTCACATAAATTTTGTTTTTCATTTGGGAAAAGTGTTTAATTTGCTCACACACCATATAGAGCAAACTACCAGTAAATAATTAGGCGTAACACAACAACTGATTATCTGAAGCCAAGACATTCTAAGAACAATCCCTGCTACACCTATTCACTTAAAATGAAATCATAAGGCTAATGAAACCTGGCACCAAATTCTTAGCCCTGTGTGCTTTGTAAAGAAAACACTATATCTGGAGATTCTAATGTGATCAACTAGAACAATAGAGAGCTTATTAATATATATTTTTTAATCTGAAGAAGGAAGAAACAAGGAATTGACTTAAAACCCTTTTCACTTTTCGGGATATTAGTGAATGGTTCCCATGCTGACCCATCATCTTCAGGATGAACAGGCAGAGACATAGATAAAGAGGTGAATTTAACTCTGCTCTTAAAAAAAAAAAAAAAAAAAAAAAAAAAAAAAAGCAAGGCTGCCATTAACCATTTCGCATATTCAGATTTTGCCCTCGCATCTTAGGCTGCGTTTCTAGGTCCATCGCTTGAACATTTTTCTCATTTTCTTCTCATCTACTACACTGCTGTAAAATCTAACTTAAATTCCCACATCTTCAACTTCAAGACTATAGAGGTGTTGGTTCTAGCTTACTAATCACAGATGTTTTTGTTTCATATCAGGCCAAAAAGCTAAATTAAAATGCAAATATATATACATACCTATCTTTATACACACACACACACTTATATACACACACAAACACACACATATACATACACACATGAATTATCATTAAGGCTCTTAACTGTCAGAGGATATTAGAGAAAATGAGTGAGAACGATGTGGGCTAGAGAAACTGATAATTCCTTAAGGACAAGGGACTCTAGCTCAATTTGAGGGCAGTTTAGTAGGTTTTAGGTAAGAGGAGAAACAGAAGGCGACTTCAGGAAGGAGTCAGAAACAACTCAAACACAGTAGGGCAAAGCAATCAAGACAGTTTCTCTGGCTGAAGGGAATTGGGACTGGGAAAGCCAGTGAGCTGTTTATTGGTGCTGATTAGTTAGAGGCTTTAAGAAATACTTGGAGGCAAGAGAGAGATGCCAGAGATTCTAAGCTGGCCTGAGTACACTTGGTGTGGGTGGCCAAGGGAGTAGCAGAGGAGGAGGGACCTAGACTAGCACATGGAAGGCCAATAGAAAGGATATTCTGGTGGGCAAACCAAGCATAGTCATTAGCAGATTAGAAACAAGTGAAAAAGGATACAGGCTAAAAAAGTGACTGATGTTTCCAATGTGGGTAGACTGGGAAAATGACTGATCCCCTAATAGGAAATTTGGGGAGAGAAATGGAGTGGTGGTGGTAACAGAAGAAAAGCGTAAATGAGCATTCTATAGATTTCTGTGTTACGTATTACAGAAATTCCTCCATTTGCCTTAGGGAGGAATTATAAGACTAGCAGATTTGGCAGGTAGAAGTCAATCTTTGAAGTCTTTGTTCTTATTTGAAATAAAAATTAATTCCTACTCAGTTTCTGAAGACTTAGCAATACTATTTTGTTATGCAGTGATCAAAATACTGCTAATTTAGAACAGGCCAAATTATAAAGCACATACTATACATTCCAAACTCAGCAATGAGGACTTGGCTGCTGTGCATATGCACAGTGCTTTCCCAGGATGAGAGCAAGAAGGAGTGAAACCTGAGTCCTATACATGACCTTCACTCCTCATAGCACTGCTCTCTGAATTCATCCACCCATCTGCAAAGCAATACCTGAGAGACTCCCAAATGAAAACTGGTGCCAGTTAATTCTCTGCCCATATGTGCAGCACTTGCTTATAACTAAAATCCTGCTGCTCCCAGGGATTTGCTGGCTCTTGGATGTTTGAGGGCTAGGATACTTTATAGACTGCTGGCATCGCTGCTGCTGTTTCTGACCTGGTAAAGTAAACCTTAGTAGTGGTCAGGCATTAGGTAGGTAATTAACTCCATGATCCCCATGGGGAACTAGCATGGCTAATACATAAGCAGTGTAGGAAAAACATACTTTACCTAACGGCACTACACAGGGTGCCTCATTTTAGCGGCAGCTATTGTTAAGAACGTGATTTCCAGATTAATTAAATTGTTTGATTGCTTTGTAATTAGACTGGAGAAGTCCTGTGTCTTCGCTACGAGAAGCAAGCTGCAAATCTTTTTAAAAGGCATATGCTATGCCCTCTATAGATTATTAACGTGCTTTTAATAGCTGTCTGTTTGCGAAATGATAGTTTCTGATGACTTGAATTTCTATCAGGACTGAGGGAATCCAAGAATGAATGATAATTGCCATTTAAACTCCTGGTGGATCAAAGAGTAAGCCCCCATTTGAATCCCTGTTGCCATTACTTGATGATCCCCTTAAATGAGTTGTGACATTTGCACCATAACAATCAGTGCTGTGTTTCTTATTGCTGTGTTGGAGATTCCTGGCAAATGGACACTGCTTAAAAATCCTAAAACCAAACTTCACAGAATCAAACCTAGGATCTCCTTGTATGATGAACACCAGCAGATAAAGTGGGCACTGGAACACGATGCAGGAACCTCAACCAGAGTGAACTCTGTAAAATAACAGTTCTGTTCCCCCGAGAACTTTGAGTCCATCTCACCAGACCCAGACAGGTGACTCATGAAAAGAGCTAGGAATCTCCCTTTCATTTAGACACCTGTCTCCAACTGGCTCCTCTCCAGATATCATTGTAGAATATTAATTAAACCTGGGCAGCTGTTTCGATTCTAAGTGGCCAAGAAAAAACCTTGATTGGCCGTCAGTGGAATTCTCTGGGTAAGTTGTCAAGTGTTCATAGGCAGGCCAATGAATAGAAGCAGACTCATATGCTTAAGTTTCAAGTAAAGACAGAATTATACACAATGAATCAAGGCTTTCTTATAATCTGGGCTCTCTGAATCTTTGGTTTTTCCTGTCCCTGTCTTATTGACCCTTCCATAGCTATAGCACCATTACTTACTGCTTGACTGATTGAGCCAACAAGTATTTATTAAACATCTACTCTATAGAGAGGGATAACATGATTTGATTTACATTTTAGAAAGACCCTTCTAGCTGTTCTGTGGCCAGTGGGCTTTAAGCAGGCAAGAGTGGAAGCAGGGGGATGAGTTAGGAGGCTACCAGCACAGACAAGGTAAGAGAGATGTTGATTTAGATAGGGTGATTGAAGAGCTGTTATGTTTTGGCAGCAGAGCCAATGGGATTTGCTGGAAAATGGGATTGCGTGGAATAAAGGGGAAAATAACGCAA